ATAATGGTAGTTAGACATCATAAATTACAATATCTAGAAAACGGTATTGTTTTCTTACTTCAAAGGTTATTTAAAAAATAAAAACAAAAATAAATAATTTTAAAGAAGATATCCTATTTGATACTTTATTTATATCACTTAATATGTAATCCAAAAGTGCATTGCTCAACTCCATTAATATCATACTATTTCAAAATACTTTAAGCTATAGATATAGCCATATAGGTACTTAAAGCCTAAGAAATAAGAGTTACAACATCTGTGTAGGTATATTTTATTTTATTCGAACAGTTATAATACATATTATTTATGATTTCCTTTATTTATTTTACACGTTTTAATCATGTTAAACTAGAACACCTGTCTCTAGTTTAATAATTTTTATTAATGAAGGTGCTGCATTAACGTAATATGCTTTTGAACATTTTTTAATTACCTATATAATAATTATTTTTTCTCGTCCTTTATAAGACATTTTTATTACGATTTAAATATTTCATACATTGTTTGATATTTCGAGTAATAGTATGACGTATGACTGTTTTGATTTGTATTAAATAAATATTTTGCAAAAGTATCTTGCTTATTATTTTTTTTTTTTTAATAGTATACTATATCTCAACGGAAATTCAGTAATAATACTAAAAAAAACAACAAATAAATTGTGAAAAGTTTCAAACAAACACTCTGTATACGTTTACTATAATCACGATTACCATCACTACGTCCATACGAAAGTGGCATCCTATCGTTTGATATTATATACATAATAATATAATATACTATATAGTGATATTTAACCATAGTCAGAAACCACTATTATTATATTTTTTTTTTCGCTAGGAGGTCGTCGTATGTTACCAAGGTAAACTGCTTTCACTTTCTCTCTCCACGCGCCTCTATAAAATAATATAATAATAATAATAATAATTATTATTATTATTATATTTACTATGTAAAAATTATTATTATATTACCATAACATATGCGCTTAACTTGTACCGTTAAGCTAAATAAGATGGATGATAATAATAATAATAATTATTATTATTATTTAATTTCGGAAAATTTAAAACCTACACCCGATAGCAGGCACATACCGTCCTATGATAAGGATCGTGATTATTTGTGGATTGATGGACAGATTTATTAACGTTGGTTCCATCGGCCGTCGAGTCGATTTGGTACCAGAAATCGTATTATATTAATAAACGTATTATTATTGTCTCCGTATCGTAGCATTTATGTTGCGCGTCCCGTTTTTCCTGCCCAGTCCATCGTATTATTATCCTACTTATACAACTGCAATCTCGCTTACGGTTAGAATAATTCATTACCATTTATCTGTAAGATGTAGCTGTAATTGTCGTTGTTGCGGTCGTTAATCGTTATTCCGTGTAACTGTAGGCAGAGATTATTTTTAATTCTTTTGAATTAATATTGTATTTGCGTCGTATTAACAAATGGGCAGAAAAAAATGTAATATTTACGAGGACTTAGGTGTCGTGGTTAATAAAATTGACAACTTAAACTCAGAAAATGCCTACTGAGAAAATGGTTTTGTCGCTGCGCTCGAGAAATGTATAACTCATTTCACTACAATTTCATATGGGTATACTAGGTATCTCAATTTATGATACTATACAAATCTAAATACATACCGACAAATAAAATGGCAACTACCTAATTTTTTTGCAAAAAACTATGTCTTTAGTCATCCTATTCTTTAATAGGTAGATACATAATATTATTTTATCTAAGCAAACCAAACATTAATTTCACTATTTTAAAAATGTCTAATTTTTAAATGCTCATAATTTGCTCATTAAAATATCAAAAAATCTAAGCGGTGTCTAAGAGTGGAAGCTGGGATTCCAGGGACTTCTGATCTAAAATATACAGCCGATACCAAAAAACGCACGAATAAATCGGACGACTTATACCCTTGGGGATTGTTTTTTTTTTTAACAAGAATATTAAAAAAAATTTGAATTCAATAATACAGAGTTATTCAAAATGATTCATCCGATTTAAAATGGTTGTATAAAGATCTGACGCCATGTGATTATTTATTTTGGGGATATGTTAAAGACTGCACTGTGTACATACCACCACTGCCATCAAATCTAGTTGAATTGAAAAATCGAATAACAACAGCCATGTAGTCTATGCTGCAAAAAGTATGGTATGAATTAGACTACCGACTAGATGTTATTCATGTAACCAAAGGAGCTCACATAGAACATTTATAGATACAGTTAACTAAACTTGACATATTTTTCTTTTATTTAATGTATAACATATTGTTCTAAACCTAAAAAATAAAATAATATAAGCACTTTAAATCGGATGAATCATTTTGATTAGCCCTGTATAATATCATTGTATAAGAAAAATGATTCTGAGCGGAGACGGTACGTCAGTCTAGGTGTAAGATATATTATATACATATCTACGGTGTTAAAAAAAAATTGACCTATAATAAATTCCAAATTAATCATATCACAATATCCATTAAGTACTTATAACGCGTTATACATCAACAACAAACCCTGATACTATCATAGATATATATTAGTACACTTTAAAAGTTTCAAGTACCCACGAATAATATTATACAATCACAACAAAATAACTAAAATATAGTTATTCTAGGTTTTTAATACCTATGTAATTTCGTCCAAATTTGAACTTAAAATGACTATAAAAATAAACTGTGCTTGTATATTTTTTAGATTTTTTGGTACCAGAATTAACTACTTACGTGGAATCTTGTTTTAAATTTTCAATCCTTAGCTAAAAAGGTTGAACATTCTATACATTTTTAACTACAAAATAATTATTCAATTTTAAATTTGATAAATTTTGTCAAAACTCGATCTTTAAATGCTTATAAAAAAAAAATTGTGCATATGTATTTTTAATATTTTTCAACTGATATTGTAACAATATATCAGGAGCCTTGTATTAAATTTTGACACTTTTTGGCAAAACAGATAAAACTTTATTAATATTCTTAGAAAAAAAAATAAAAAAATTGGTACTGGTTTGTTATAGCCCCGCCACGGCGAGTGAAAACTTTATAGCCCCGCCACTCAGGTTTGTTATCCCCCCGCAATTCATATATAATAATAATATAAAACAGTGATATAATTAAAAAAGGTGGGCAAGTGGGTGTCGCTCTGCTGTACAGTAGGTTACAAGTGGGTCACTGTATAATGGATGGTATTAAATTTGAATTCAATGATATAATATCATTGTATAAGAAAAACGATTCTGAGCGGTGATGGTATGTCAGTCTATGTATAAGGCATATTATATACATATCTATGGTATTAAACAAAAAATTGACCTATAATAGGTACCTATAATAAATTCCAAATTAATCATATCACAATATCCATTAGATACTTATAACGCGTTATACATCAACAAAAACCGTGATACTATCATAGATATATAATAGTACACTTTAGAAGTTTCAAGTACCCACGAATAGTATTATTCAATCACAACAAAATAACTAAAATCGTAATTCTTGGTTTAAATATGAAATTTTGTCTAAATTTGAAATTAAAATGTCTGTAAAAAATAAGTGTGTTTATATATTTTTTAGATTTTTTGGTTACAGTATGAATTATTTAAGAGAATCTTTGTTTTAAATTTTCAACTCTTAGTTATAAAAACTGAACATTTTATAATTTTTTAATTCCAACGATTGATAATTTTCGAGATTTTGATAAATTTTGTCAAAATTCCAACTTTAAATGCTTATAAAAAAAAATCGTGCCTATGTATTTTTAATATTTTTCAACTGATATTGTAACAATATATCAGGAGCCTTGTATTAAATTTTTACACTTTTTGGCCCAACAGATAAAACTTTATTGATATTTATAGAAAAAAAAACTAAAAAAAATTGAAAGCTGTAAATGTCCATAAACAGCTCAAAAAGAGTCAAAATATTTTCAAAATTGTATGGTGTATATGAAATGCTAATATAAACATTCAGTGAAATTTTCATGTATCTACAGTTATTCGTTTTTGAATTACAACAAAATAAGGAAATCGCTACATGAGAAATCGAGTGAAAATCCAATGTTGTAAAAATTTGAATTTCAAACGCTCATAAAAATTTAATTTGACTGTCCGGTAGAGATTTTTTTATTGATAAAGGTAGATAATCTTATAAGGAATCTTGTGTTTCATTTTCAAATCTTAGATTTAAAAAGAAAAATTTTTACGAATTCTTAACTCAAAATAATTTGCTAATTTTCGTGATTTTTCCATATTTTGTCAATTTTTGAACTTTAAATGCTTATAAAAAAAAATTGTGACTAAGGATTTTTAATATTTTTCATCTGCCTTTGAAACAACATATTAGGAGCCTTCTATTAAATTTTCAAGCTTTCGCAACCAACAAATAAAATTTTATTGATATTTCTAGAAAAAAAACTAAAATAAAATGAAAAATGAAAATGTCCCTAAACAGTTCAAAATAAATCAAAATATTTTGAAAATGTTATCGTGTATAGAAAATGCAAATATAAACAACCAGTGAAAATTTCATGTATCTACGGTCATTTGTTTTAAAGTTACACCAATAACCAAATTCGATTTTTTGGAAAATCGATTTTGCGTAAAAATTCCCGTTTTTCCTTAATTTTTATGTTGTTTTTCCCGGCGCTTGTGAAAACTACTGGAAAATGTTTACTTTTGACCCCCCAAAGTACCAACTAGATTCACTTTCCTATCAGAAAAGGTACTATTGAAGAAAATCGAAGCACTTTTACTGTCCCAAAACGTGATGACAGACACAAAAAAAAATATAAAAATATAAAAACATACATCATTGTAAAACCAATACATTCATCGCTCCGCTCAGAATCTAAAAGTTTATTTATTGACGATATAATATATAATATTTAAAAAAATTAATATTAAAAAATTGAATATAATAATAATAATAAATATAAAAAAAATGATATAATTAAAAATGTTTATGCTTTATGTGATTCCCAAAATTCTGCTATATCTTTTAAAATGGTTTCAAACGGATCACTATTATTCAGTTTTGATCGCCACATAAATTCTGCCAAGTACGAGTCTAAAAAATTTCTATCCGTCACTCTACGTTTTTTGTTGCCCCATTTGGCCGAACCCCACATTCTTTCAACATTTTGTGTGTGGGTTCCTGAGTTAGGGTCCACGAAATTATATTTATGATTGACTTGATTATGTTGAAAACCATGTTGTTGCAAATTAGCATTCCAACTGTCAGAAAAAATTATAGAACCATGTCTATTATATCGGTTAATAATAGGTATCAATGTAATTTCTGATCTATTTGGCACACTAACTATGAAACATTCCTTGGTTTCACGGCATATACCACCAAACACCCATTGTTGAGGTAATATACGCCCTGCATTATTTTTCCGGCGTACGAAAAGACTTTCATCTATTTCCACTATTAAGTTTGGACCACCTACTTGATTGTTATTGTTGCTTTCCATGCGCCAAACACAAACTTCTCGTAAGTAGTTGTTCCAATCGACTACCGCATTTTTTCCAATACCCAATTCACGTTTGCAATATGTCACTGAAGTAAGTTCATGAGCCCAAGAGTATATAAAATACACAATACTATTTATCGGCGATCTCGAACCGTTCAGCCAATTATTTACCCTAATACCTTTCTCTTTACGACAATCCCTTCGTTGACATCGCCACCTCGAACCTTTCAAAAACATTTCGTGGCCATTATCACATGTATTGGTCATTTCAATTATATTTTTGGACTGGAGAAATTGAATTCCGGCATTTATATCGGGCACTTGTGTTAACAAATCTTTAAAATTCATGATGATGTCTGAAATGCGAACAAATACGTACTGTGATGTTTGATTGGTAGGTATAATATCAGTTTATTATAGTTAATAGTTATGGTACGTATTTTCCGTCTCATTATTTAAATATTAAATTGTCGGTAATCAGCTCAAAACAAGTCAAAATATTTTGAAAATTTTATCAAGTATAAGAATTGATAAAATAAACATTCAGAGAAATTTTCATGAGAAATTTTCATGTATCTACAGTTATTCATTTTTAAATTTCAACAAAATAAGAAAATCGCTACATGAGAAATCGAGGGAATATCCAATGTTGTAAAAATTTGAATTTCAAACGCTCAAAAAAATTTAATCTCACTTTCCGGTAGACATTTTTTTTTGATAAAGGTAGATAAACTTATGAAAAATCTTGTATTACATTTTCAAATCTTGATTTAAAAAGAAAATTTTTTATGAATTTCTAACTAAAAATAATTTGCAAGATTTCGGGTTTTTTCCGTATTTTGTCAATATTTGAACTTTAAATGCTTATAAAAACAAACTGTGACTAAGGATTTTTAATATTTTTCAAACGTCATTGTAACAACATAATAGGAGCTTTGTATTATATTTTCAAGCTTTTTTACCTAACAAATAAAGTTTTATTGACATTCATAGAAAAAAAACCTAAAAAAGTTCGAACCTGAGTATATCCGTAAACAGCTCAAAACAGGTCAACATTTTGAAATTTTTTTCATGTATAGAAAGGCTAATATAAACATTGAGTGAAAATTTCATGTATTTACGATCATTCGTTTTAGAGTTACACCAAAAGCCAAAATCAATTTTGTCAAAAACCGATTTTGTGTAAAAATTCCCGTTTTTCCTTAATTTTTATGTTGTTTTTCCTGACGCTTGTGAAAAAAATTGGGAATTTTAAAACTTGACCTCTAGAGTGCACCAACTAGATTCACTTTCCCGTCTAACAAGATACTGTTAAAGAAAATCGAAGCAGTTTTACTGCCCTAAACCGTGATGACATAAAAATAAAAAAGAAGACACAAAAATACCGTGAAGACACAAAAATAAAAATAAAAAAACACACATCATTGTAAAATCAATACATTCATCGTTCCACTCAGAATCTAAAACAAAATGTATGTGATTTTTTGAAAGTAATATTATAAATTTTTTTTTAATACGTCGCACCAAAAATGGTTGCTTGATAATAAAACGATCGTGTTTTGTGACGCCTTCGCAAAAAGTATACGACCGGTGACTGAATCATTGGTCTGACAAGACTAAGTAGATTGTGTGTAGCGCAGTCAGATGGTAAGTTCGTCGCAGTGACGCAGTTAATCGCATAATCTTTATTTAACGTATACTGCATAATATTATGTATACGACGTACCTACGTATAATTGTCATACACCATCAAGTATTTTATTTTTATTTAACGGGCTAGGCCATTTTTACATAATTTGTATTGATAGTCAATTATAAAGGTAAATAAGTACAAGCATAAATAAATATATACAACAATTAAATAGAAGAAAAACTTAAAAATTAAGGTCCACATTGGTGTTTGACATTAACCTTTCAGCGGTTCGTTAGCTAAATTGTTTGTGGTGGTGTGAGGGACATAAAAAGGAGCTAGTGAAACAAGTATTCAAGTCAGCATCCAACAATGATTTCACCACTAAATTTAATATTACTAAAAATAACAGACTAAAATGTGTAAGTAAAATATGTTATGCGTTATTAAGATGGAGATGTTGAGATGTTGAGTCAACTCGACGCTGATCATATTAGAATAGTTCTAATATTATAAAACTATAACTTTATTAATTTTAATATAAATTCTATACATTGAGAATGTATAAAATGTATAGAATTTAATAATGAATTATTGGAATTACTTTAATTTGAAGAATTTATTTAGTTTATGTATAAAATTAGATACCCGGTTAATGAGTTTATTATTTATAATACCTGCAGTAGAGAAATTTCTAAACAATATGAAAATTATAGGTACCAATTGACTATATTATTTGGTATTATTATTGTTATAAGTTATGACAAATTATTCATACAAATGTATACAATATTTAGATATCTTGTAACAAAGTACAAAATAAATGTATAACCCAATATAGTTAGAGAAGTATAATCACGATGTGAATAAAACGGTTAAGTCACTTCCCAGTTCGATGTTTATTTTTAAGATATTTTATGACTGCGTGTTTTAATGCGGACCGTTATCCACTGGGTGTCCCAAGTTTGGACTCATCAGAAGGTCTACTACGTAGTCAAGTCATATTATAATTATTTAAGAATATTTAATTTTTCTCATTAATTCGTAATCGCCTGTGAATGCGACGACTGTAGGAATGTGTTTGTTTCAACGAGTGAGGGGTTGTCACGGACCCTAAACCCCCCGTCTCACAGGTCCAGTATTGTATAGTACTGTATTTATATTTTTTCGTATTGACCGCGCGTCTTACAACTAAATTGTACACTACACAGTACAGTGAATCTAGCACGACCAGAACCATATTATGTATGTTTGGCCTAGTTATGGGTTTTAAGAATATCCACCGCCGGCCGCGAGGAGGTCAAGTTTCTATAGAATATAGTGCAAATTATTTTCTGCATAACATAACAACGCAATCTTTGCCATTGATAACGTTTTATGTGCGTTCTTAAATATATATTTTAATTCGTTCGCGTATTTGATTTCTCTCTTTGATCAACGAAACTCATTATTATAATTATTTAATTGTTATATCATCATAGATCTACATAATATTAATTATAACCGCACATCGCCACAATGCATTATTAATTATACAGCGTTTTTTGTATATTTCTTTTTTCGATATCCACATTCGCGATGTGTTTAATATCGTTGTAATAATATGTAAACACAATATTATAGTAATTTACTATGATAGTAAAGTGATCACTAGTATTTTATTCCACTGCTCCTATATGATGATCATCTCATTACCTCAATAATGGATCTTGACTGCTGTATTATATAATATCTACGATAACTGCCACCAAGTTGCTGTTTGAACGAATATTGATTAACATAATATTATAATATTATTATTAGGTATATTTTATTATGGCACGTCTTTCAATAGCTTGTAACGCATTTTATGCGTATTGCGCGTATTTTTAATTTGGCGCAATACCTGTATTATATACATCTACTGCACCACTCATAAACGACTATACTGCTATGTTACAGTTGAGTAATTCGTTGAAAAATATCGTAATTCTATTCTCGGCGTAACATATTTTGTCATCTATGTATTCTCATGTCGTACCTCATACGCTCGTTACAGCAAAACCGCTCTTCGCGTTTTTCGTTTTGTAGTCAGACTGCTGTGTTGTGCCTTGTGCTTATGTGTGTAACAAGTTAGGTGAATACGATAGATAGTGCACAACCCATTACGAAAATCACTTTATAGTGTGAAATCGTTAGTGCTCTGCCGAAGGCTTTTCTCGGTGTTTTAATTATTTAGATACCTATACTCGTTATAGAAACCGTTGTCACTACAGGTACCTATTATTATAGTAGTATAGTAGGTGCCCATTAATTTATTGATAACTTAAAAAAAAAACCTAAAAATATTGATAAAATACTTTGTATGACACTATACTATCAACACTTATGCCATCCACAGTAGTTTTGTTAATATTATGTTTGCCAAATACTTACGGATTTGATTCAAAACGAATAATGCAAAGGCGCAGTTAACATATTAAAGTTATGCCCACATCTTCCTAACGAAACGCCCTCTTCAAAGTCATATTAAGTTCCATTATTTGTTCCTCGCTAGCGGCTTGCACCTCTGGGCTCTGACCTCTCTTTAATATATTAAAATAATACACCCTAAGACGCCTTTTGACTTTTATAGTTGTATCAAACATGTATATAATGTATAATAGTACGAGTGTATGATAGTTATTACTTATTAGTTATTACATACAGTGGCGCCCACATGATTTTATCAAGGGTGATCATAGGTGAGAAAATAGAGGGAAAATGGTTGGCCTAAAAGTGCCCTATAAGTCATAATTTATAGTTCTATAGTGTTTTCCATGCGGTATCAGTTGTTTGGTTGGTTGGTTTGGAATGAGTTTATAGCATTGTAATTTGTACCACAACTATAGATGAAAAAATATTTATAATATACAATTATATTTATTAATGAAGTAACAACATAATATTTTTCAGACATTTATTTTCAGTAGACGATTCGAAGTCTACCTACGTGATAGCTATCTCCCATAATATCCACCCTCCCCAACCGACTCCCGCCCATGTGTATACGCCTACTTGGGTTGTGCAAGAGATTTTATTTATAAAAAAATATATACCTAATATAATATATTAGGTACCTATATAAAACTTAAGTGTGTCTATGTTTTGTTTTCGCAGGACCCATAGATATGTTCGACAACATATTCGGTGGCATTGGCAAAGGTTGTGCCAGCCACCCCTGGGAAGTGATCGTAGGAGTGTTGACCGTCACGGCGTGCATGCTGACGATTGACAAGACAGCCGATCCATCACTGTCGGCCGGACCGAACAGCCTACCACACAGCACTAAGATCGTTGTTAGTATATCATTGATTTTATAACATATAACATACTATTCAGTATCCTGAAAAAGCAATGTTGTTTATTGTTGTACTTGTACCTATGTTATTATTATTACAAATTATAATATAATGTTTATATATTATGGGGTGTTATAATAATATAACAATATCCTGTCAATGGTATTTTTTCTATTTGATGTTCTCGAAAATTATTATCCTATCTAAGAACCAAAATAATAATTGTTATCATTTACGGTGTCCTTTTGGTTTGGCTATAAACTCAAAAATAAACATTTTTAACTTATTTTTTCTCATCTACTACAACTCCGAGATAATTGTTTTTTTATAAAGATGTTTTTTGTGAATATTTTTAAAGTAAATTTATTGATTTCCATTAATTATATGCCCTGAATAGTTGTGTACACTACTCATGTAACTTTAAAAATATTTGATGGTGGTTCGTAGAGAACTTGAATAGTTTAATAGTAGACATGCGAGTTAGGACCACGACAAAGTGGGTGAGACACCATGTGTACTAGTGTCGTATTGTCGTGTAATCGTTTTGCTCGTATATACATTCCTAATTAATATATATATATAGGTATATATTATTCATTGATACATTCTTAGGTTTATATTATCTTTTTAAATACCCTTGAAAATAATAGGTATTGATTTTTTGTTTTTTGTGTTTTCAATCACACTAGGATGACGAATCGCACGCCATCGATGTAATATTTATGACTTTAATAAGATGTATAGCCGTGCTTTACTGCTACTATCAGTTCAATAATCTCAGGCAGTTGGATTCAAAATATGTTTTGGGTAAGATGATTGTTATGTATACATTATAATATAGGATATATATTGTATGGAGTGAATAATTTAACCATTGTTAACGTAAGACACTCATTATTCAAAAAAGTAAAAATGTTTTTTAAAATATTTTTTACATGGTTTTAAGTCTTTACATTACAATGTTTTTATTCAAAATTAAGTTTTTACTTTTTTGATTAGAACATAGAGTTTTAATTTAATTTTGAAAACAGAATATTTTCTGAATATTTAGATACATAAAAATCGAATTAAGAGTTTATGAGTTTATACTTTATAGTATTCAAAGTTTACATGGAGTAGTGGAACAACGTTTTGAGAGGTAACCGCGTACCACTTCGTTCGCTCATCTAAACTTTAAATACTTATAAGTCGTAAACTGCTCGTCCTAAATTCGATTTTTATGTATCGAAATACTTAGAAAAAATTATTATTATAGTTATTAGAATTGCAGACCATATAAAAAGATATATTTTATATTAATACATATGTATATATTTTTAAAAAAAATTTTGTTTTTAAATGAAATCCATGTAAAATCTTTTTTTTCAAAAGCATTTATACTTTTCGAAATAATGAGTTTTCAATGATAATAGAAACGTCCGGTGATTATATATTTATATATTTAAGTAAAGTTAAAACACCGCGACTTTCATGTTTACCTCGGTAAAAGACAAAAAAATGGTAACGACAGTTTAAAATGTCTGTACACCCAGTTATATAGACTTTACTGACCATGCGGGGTGTTAGGTCGTGCAGTCTAAGACGACCATAAACTCTTAACCTGATGAAACGCGGCCTTTGACATACTATAATATAGTAAAAAGATTTTATTGATTCTGTGAATAATATCTCTAATTGTTAATTACTAACTTCTGTAAGCAAGGTCAACGAAAATAATTGATCATGTAACTAAGCTTTTTATTTCATTGTTTTGTTCACTGGCGCAAGATTATAACTCCCTGATTGATATAGCCTTCTTTTTTTTAATTCACTAAAAGGGTCTGAAATGAGTTGTTATCTTAAACATGTTATAGGACTGTCATAGTGTCATATCCTCTTTGATAAAAACAAATGAATCGTAGTTTGGTTTTATTAATTGCCAAGGAACTTTTGATGAGTAATAGACAAAACAAATATCAAGTCTTACGCAGTTGCGCATTCATTATTGTTTATGACAATTTTACACTTAAATATGTCAAATTCGCATTATGCACACTGTATGCATACCTACTTTAGTATAATGAGTGAGTCACTAAACATACCAATTATTTCATAGTTATTAATTAAAACTCCATTAGTGTGTTGTAGGTGAATTATTATTTGTATTTATTATACATAGGTATTATATCTCATTTATATTATTTATATCTACATTATACAAAACCTTTTACTTATTAGACAGATAATATTAAACTCTTGATCTTGAATTTTCGAGAAATGTTTGGATATTTTATTTGTTTATCAATTTTTAAAACTGGTTAAATAATTTTTAATCAATTGGTTTGCTATTGAAATATTATCTTTTGAACATTAAATAACTGCTGCAATTTTTACCTCCGTCTTGAATCACTAACTGGTTGCTTGATCCATTTGTTTTTGCTTTCATCAATTACCTTGTGCACTAACTACCTAGTAACCTACCACTTTCTATTTTTATTATGTATCATTTGATAAAATTATTGATATAATTTCTCAAATATGTATCAAATTGATTTATCGAACTAGGTAATTGCATTATTTAAATTTCATAGAAAATTAGAAAATTGTTTAATAATTTCACTTATCAAAATTATTTTCAGGTATTGCTGCCATGTTTACAGTATTTTCAAGTTTTGTTTTTAGTACCATAGTAATACATTACTTAAATGGAGACTTAAAGTAAGTTTTAAGTAATTTGTTAAGGCTAAATATGATATAAATTAGAGAATAGTAGCCCCTAGCCTCAATTTAAATAAAAATTATTGACTTGTGGTATCTATAAACACTATTTATTTCTTTGTTACAGAGATGCTATGTTCCTATTCCTATTAGTTTTACTTGTAAACTTAAAAAAAGCCAGTTTGTTGGCACAATTTGCACTAAGTGGCTGCTCACAGACCGAAGTAATCAACAATATATCTAAAGGCATGTCATTGCTAGGTCCATCATTTTCTTTGGACTCAATTGTATGTAGTCTTGTTATCAGTGTCGGGATGCTGTCAGGTGTCCAACGTTTAGAAACACTGTGTATGTTTACATGCATGTCATTCATTGTGAACTATGTGGTAATCATGAGTTTTTATCCAGCTTGTTTATCCTTGGTATTGGATGTAAGTTATTATTTTTAAATTTAAATATAAATATTATTATTTGTAGCGCGTAGCTCGGGTGTGCAGCAATAGTTTTTCTGACAATGTATTGTTTAATTAACAGTTACTTAGAAGAGGAGATGAAAATGGTATGCCGTTTTGGGGTGACCGTTCTCAGATAACTGCCATTTGCAATGATCATAAAACTGATCCAATCACCAACGCGTTTAAGGTGATAATGTCAGTTGGTGTAATGATTGTTCACGCGCAGAGGTACGATTTCATTCATAGCTTTAAAAATAGTGTCTAGGATTTGCATAAGAAACACTACCTACCTTTACTTATTCTTTAGTGATCCGTATTTTACTGTTTGTGTATTTATATATATATTTATTATTATCCAGAAAAATAGTTTTTATGTTCTTAGAATAGTAAAATTTAAATAAAAAAAATAGTACAATAGAATGTATTCTTATAACATTTGTATGGTTATATGTTTTCTTAGAAAGGAGAACATTTAGTTTGCTTTTATTTTTTGTAATATTTTAAACTTGAAACTTGTTCACTACATTTTAGTCGATGGGCATTGAGTGGTATGGAAACAGAAGCAGATAATATGTTAGGAATACAAGTTACCAAGTTTGCTGTATTTAATGAAACGGAAGAGAATACCCACCGTTCTGTTCATAGCTCCATTGTGCAGTAAGTGTGAATGTCTGTAAATAACTTATTTATTCACATCAATTACGTTTAAACAATTTCATCATAAGAATCTAATATTAACCTTTTTTTTCCCATAGTTGGATGGCTAGTGGGGCCGATCATATAGTTATATTGATACTTTTACTATCAATGATAGTTTGGTTTTGGTTCTTTGGAGACCGTGATGATAAGCTCATACCTTGGCTCAGGTGAATAAAAACAAAACTAACCATCCGGTGAGTACAATTTTAAAATACGTATACTGTATAGTAAATATGAATAGATATTGTATTTAGCAGTATTATAATTTTTTTAACTGCAACATAGTCTTGACCTTTCAAAATTGGAAATATATTTCTATTGTTAATAATCATACATTTTAAAGCATTATACTATAACAATTTATAAATATTATCAATATATACAATTTCAATAGTATATTAATTCAAACAATTTAACAAAAATAAAAGACGCCCAAAATATTTTTATTTTTTTTACATACAGGTCATTCAGTACATGTCCTTGAAACCCAAAAAGATTTTAAACATACACATAGCCAAACTGAGTATCGAAAAGCATCAGTTTATACTTCCAACAAAATGGTTCAAACAGAAAATGTTGATGGTGATATTGTTGATGGTGACAAAAATGTGGAAATCAGACCTTTTGATGAATGTTTAGATATTTATAAGACTCAGGTAAATATTTAATACTTTTACAATAATCTTGGTAAAACATAATTTTTTTCAGTCAGTATTTATAATCATTCTCAACTTATAAATATAATATATGCAAATGCTTAGTGAAATTTATTTTTTTACACAAAAAAAGTAATTAAACAACAATTTCCCCTGTATCTCTTTTTATGCAGTACAAATGTACAATATATAATTATTTAATATTTTAAATGTATTTAAAATGAAGTCATGTCATACCCACATAATATCGCCGTTCCGGTAAAACAATGACGCAACTCCAAAATTTGGTATAAATGGCCTAAATGCTACAATGAGTTTAAATATAGCGTACGCATAATGTAGAAAAACGACGGAACTGTAGTTGTATTTTAGACCTCCAGAGGGCAATTGCGTCGTTGCGGAATTATGAGTTTGTACACTCATAAATAATTAACAATTTAGTTTTTTGGGTTTCCTGTAAAATTGCAATTATTGCAGTTGCGTCATTGTTCTACCGGGACGGCGATATGTTGTCTCTGTCTTACGTATGGACATAACCAAATTTGCATTCAGAAGTTCCAATTGTTTGCTGTTAAATTTAATATTGGAGTGTATTCTGTATTCTCTTGTTGGTTTTTTGTAATGTTTTAATTTTTATGTAAGTTACGAGTATTTTTAAAGTTTAATATTTTATACACTTATTACATAATTAAAAATTAAAATATCCTAAAAACGAACAAGAGGATACAAATAATGTCCTTACCTGAACGTTTTATAATAGGTCAACTTATCTAATATTTAATTCAACCAAAAATTGAAACTACTAAACATAAGTTTTGATATGTTATGCGTTAGCAAGATGGATACCACACATGTGGGTGTATAATGTTTACAATTTTTTAAGAACAAAAATTGTTTTAAGGAAGGGATTTTGTGAATCCCTTTTAAATTAAATACCAATCATATGCATCACAAACGCTCGTTTTAACATTACAAATAGTGTCTCTTTAATTCAATCATTAACTTTATAATTACTATAAATATTTAGATTTATTTTTATTTACATAATATTTTGTATTAAATCTATAGTTAATAGTTATTATATATAATTATTCTGCTTATTTATATAATTATGTTAACATTTTAAAAATTAAGTTATCAATTTCTATTAACTACAATCAAATAGTAATAGAGATTTTTATATTTAGTTAGTGTGCGTATGTGAATGAGGTTAAGTTGTATTATTTAGTCATATAATAGCAATATTATTATATATCACTATATCAGTTCATCAAATTTATAGTAAAAAAGCCTATTTTAATATTTTTAATTAATTTAGGCATACATTGTGTAATTACCAATAAGCAATTATTGCTAATTACATTAATTATTTTTATGGTATAAACTATTAAAAATAATTACATATATTGATTGTGTTATCCTTAGTGTGTTGTGTTTACTATTTTAGCCAACTCATAGTGACTATATTATTTTATTAATTCCATTAAAAATATTTATGTTACAAGTACATAACTTTTTTCTGTACTTCCAAACTTTTATTACATAAAAAAATACATAGTGGAACATAGTAATGAATTAAACATGTACCACTCATAAACTGTTATTTTTGCCGTACATATTTTATAATGGGTTATGATAAATATACATATTTATTATTTAGAAATCAGCTGAACAATTAAATGATGATGAAGTATTAATGTTAGTGAAATCGAACCATATAAAACCGTACATGTTGGAAAAATGTGTCAATGACCCAGAGAGGGGTGTTGGTCTTCGAAGAAAAATAATTGCAGCAGAGAGCAATTTGACGGAAGCCTTAATACAGTTACCTTACATAGGTTATGATTATTCCAAAGTAAGGAACAACAGATAAATTATATAGTAGAGACTAGGGAATAATATTCTGTATGACTGACTGTATTATTGAAATTTCTTCTAGGTACTAGGAACCAATTGTGAGAACGTTATAGGATATGTAGCTGTGCCTGTTGGAGTAGCTGGACCATTACTTGTGGATGATGTGTTTTATCAAGTACCCATGGCGACCACTGAAGGCTGTTTAGTGGCCAGTACAAACAGAGGATGTAGAGCACTGACTGTGTGCGGTGGCGTTATAACTAGAGTTGTGGATGATGGTATGACTAGAGGACCCGTTGTCCGATTTTCTTCAGTTACTACTGCTAGGTATGTGTATGGTTTTCCATTCAGCTATTGGGAATATTGTAAAGTAACCTTTTTTTTTTTCAACATATTAGTGAAGCAAAAATGTGGATGGACAATCCAGAAAAGTTCAAAATAATTAAGTCGGCATTTGATTCAACTAGCAGATTTGCAAGACTCACAAAATTACTTGTGCGTATTGCTGGTCGACATTTGTTTATTCGGTTTACAGCTTCTACGGGTGATGCAATGGGCATGAATATGTTATCCAAAGTAAATAAAAAAAAAAAAACAAAAATACTATTTAATATTATGTTAACTAATGTCACCTCGACTCTTAAATTAAATTAAAATAATACTTATTTTAATGTTTTTAATAGGGAACAGAAAAATCACTCAAAGTCATCGGAGGATACTTCCCCGACATGGAAATTTTAAGTCTGAGTGGTAATTTTTGTTCAGACAAAAAGCCAGCCGCAGTCAATTGGTATGAAATTTTTAAAAATTGTATGCATTTTCTATTATATTATTTACGTTTTTTTCTTGTATAGGATTGAAGGCCGTGGAAAATATGTTGTTAGTGAAGCAATTGTACCTTCAAAAATTGTCACCGAGGTACTGAAAACTACTGTAGCAGCATTGGTTGATGTTAACATAAGCAAAAACTTGATGGGATCAGCAATTGCTGGTAGTATTGGAGGAAATAATGCACATGCAGCCAATGTTGTTACAGCTGTATACATTGCTACAGGACAAGTAAATAAACAACTATTTTTGTCCATATTATATTACTAACTGATCCTGTACACTTTGTTGCCCGAAAAATGACAACTCTTAAAAAAATTGTGATTGTTCAACTCCTTTTGGGTGTAACTCGTAGCAGTAAGTGCAACTCAGACATTATCATTTTAACAATGTGCGAAGGCATATCAAGTAGGCAACGACACACCGATGAGCGGCTATACGTGCACCTTTGTAGGCAATGTGCGAAAATTTGATTTGATGCATGCTTGTACCTGATCTGCCTATAACCAATGCAACCAATAAAATAATAAATACTATTTTCTACTAATTATTTCTTCTATAATCAATAGCAACCATTTAAAAACAAAAATTTCCATCGTTAATCTCAAAATTCCTGTTTGAGCACCTCCGAGGGTCCAATTGTAAATCTAACCTTCCTCTTGAACCACTCTATCAATTAAAAAAATTGTATCAAAACCCGTTGCATAGTTATAAAGATCTAAGCAGACAGACAGACTGACAGCGGGACTTTGTTTTATACTATGTTAAGATAAGATTTTGATATTTTAGCCGTATATTTAATTATTTGCCATCAAATTTAGGATCCAGCGCAAAACGTGGCGAGCAGCAATTGCATGACACTGATGGAAGCATTTGGTGAAGACCTGTATGTATCATGTACAATGCCTTCGGTTGAGATTGGTACAGTAGGTGGAGGAACTTCATTACCTGGTCAATCTGCGTGTTTGGAAATGCTTGGTGTACGAGGTGCAAACTCTGAAACACCAGGGGCCAACGCCAAACGATTAGCACGTATACTGTGTGCAACAGTTTTAGCAGGCGAACTGTCGCTGATGTCGGCCTTGACTGCTGGTCATTTAGTAAAAAGTCACATGATTCACAATCGGTGAGGGTTTTGTTTTTATTTGTTTGATTATCTATAATAGCTCTTTTAATTATTCACATTTTTAAAAATCAATATCATTTGGAATATATTTGAAAAAACAAGACAACATTGTTTGCCCAAATGAATGTAGTGATATTTAACACCGTTTGGATACAATTTTATAAATTAACTTATTTTTCCTTGCTTATTGCACAAAATTGGAACAACAATAACAAAATTAACTCTTTTTTTTTTCACAGGTCCGCTCCTTCCATTCAGAATTTAGAATCAGAACCATGCGAATCAACCAGACAAATTACACACTGTGTCTCTTGAGTGACGTGAAATTAATTTATTTTACTTCATACTTATTACTTAATTCTATTTTGTTAGAATCTATGTTGTATATAAACAAATGGCATTTTATTATATAGTCAATATTTTCTGTGAGATGATGTTTTTTTTCTCAGTATTTTGTCAACAACACAAAAAAACCAAAATATTAGGAACTGGTAAAAATTAAATATCAAAAAAAAACTAATTGAACGTTATGAAGTTTTTTATCAATGAGCTTAGATGAAGCTATTTTAGGTTTGGATGAATTAGAGTAGTTAACTGCAAATGGTTCTGTGTTTAAACAGTGAATATGAGCATATATCTAAAATATACCAAAAAAGTTAACTTTTTAATGATTAATGTTGGTTGTTCACTAATAAAAGAATCTTTCTGTATGAAATATTTTATTTGCAGTGTAAAACTTGGTAGTCTTTAGAATACCATTCTATCTCTGGACCATGGGTTCTATAAGTTTATAAGATAAATCACATAAATTATCAGGAAAAGTATAAATCATAATATAAAAGAAATTGGAATCTTCTTACTTAGTGGTTACGACTGCTGTCAATATCAAATTTATTGCAAATGAGGTGTTTATTTTAAAAGTAATGCTGGGTTACTTGTTTACCTAGTTGCACTACTACTTAGAGGATTGTATAACATAAGTATAATTTCAAGGTTAAAATAAATTATTATGTAAAGTGCCTTGTCTGTGAAGTTGGCACCCAAAACCTCTTTATCCAATCATCTGAATTGATTAAAAAGTGTGGCAATATTTTGCAAAATAATGTGAAATCAGTTTATTGAATTTTTAAATATGTCATTCAAAATTATTAACTAAATACAATTTCTGGAAACAAAAAAAAAAAAAAATTGTTAATATTTACCAATAACAAAAAATATTGATTGCTAAATTCTAAAATCCAATTTGCAAAAAATTGACATATTTAGAAATTGATATGGTAAAATTTAAGGGACTCTGAAATTACCTCATAATCTTTTAATGGTTTATTTGTAAATTTTAAAAACCAATTTACAATAATTTACAAAATATCTCTAAATTTTTCAAATAAATTGGACAAAGTAGTAATGTGGGAGGGGGAGGGGTAAAGTAGACCATGGACGTTAAGAGACTAGCGTTTTAAGGGTAGGTAGTCATGTTATGTTTTTGATTTCTGTCAAGTCCTTAAGATATTATAGAAAATATGTTTTTGGAATGATTAAAATTTCAAGTTGAAATCAAAAAAGTTACCAGGTATTGTATAGAATAACTAGGAATTAAACAGTTATCTTATACTCACGACAGTAACATGTAGAGTAGGTACCCAGGGTTGGGTAATGGGTTACTTTAATAAACAAAATATAACAGTCCTTTCATTTTTATGTAAGACACTTTTTTTAAATTTTTTCCCGAGAATCAAACTGGTCTGATTATACTGTAAACTTATTGTGTATGACATGCCTTAAAAAAAAATACTCTTTAGATTCACCACAAATGTTCCACCTCATATGCAAGTGTTGTAATATTTTTTGTATAAATTATTATTTATTTTATTTTAAAATTATATTTAGAAAGTTAATTTTGAAAAAGTATAACTTACATCCCATATCTTTTATTCTTTCACAATGAATCTTGTATCTTGTATCTAGATATACAAAATGCGTGTATTATTATACTCTTTTTTTGAGTATAAAATTCAACCCTGTGAATGTCATACCAATTTTGGGTTTCAAAACTTAAGAGGATTACACTACAAGGTCTAATGTAGCATCTCCCCCCCACCAATCAATTTTGTAACTTAAAATTTGGTTAGCCTGATGTGAATATACAATATTATTAATTTATTTTTATTTTGACACAAAATTCACCAATTGTTGGAAATTAATTTTATTATAATACATTAATACATATAAGAATACATCAATCACAATAGTTTTAAACAATTATAATATGTTATAAATAAAATGACAATAATTATGTTGATGAGTAAAGCCAGATTTATACAAATTACCATTTATATCTAATAATTTTTTTTTAATTCTTATAAATAAAATAAAAAAGAACCATAATACAAATTGTATCATGTTTAAAACATTAGATTATAATATATTTTATGGTTATAACACCATTCGTCTACAAATTTCATAATGATGTAATATAATACAATTGACATAAAAACCAAAAAAGATTTTTATAAAATCATCAAATATATTTATTTAATATCAACAATATTAATGTTCTAGAAAACTTTAATGAAGAAATGTATTTTTTAAATCAACTAAATTTAACAAATTCTACGCGCTTCAATTATTCGTTCATAGTATTCTTGGGGTAAACCAATTTTCTTTAAACACTCATCACTAGATTCAAACATCTGTTCTTTGAAATAGTAAACCATTGCTTCCCAACAAATGACTTTCAATTTGGGTATCATAATCCATGCACTAGTAATATCATTTGAACGGCCACCTCTAACATCTATATCATCGTCAGAAACTATGCCACCATAACAACACATACGACCAGAAGGCGTTACAGCAGTTGAGTGGAAGTATACTGGCCGAGGCATAATACACTTGGTGAGTTTTTCCCATTGCAAGGTGTCAAAATCAAAACGCCAAACGTCTTTGAAGGATCGGAAACCATCAAAACCACCACATATGTACACCAAATTCGATTTCTCAGGACATTGAACACAGCTATGGCAGCTTCGGTTATTCGGATAACCAGGTTTTGGCACTCTGTGGTCGTGTTTAGCTGGAAGGAATTGCCACTGTTTGGTGGCCACATCAAACATATGGATTTTCTAGTAAAAATAATAATATCTGAATATAAAATGCATAAACTTAAAACAATCAATTATTATCATCGTTAAATACACAAATTGGGCTATCTTTTTGTATGCATAGTACTAAGATTTTCAATATAACAGCAACTGCAACAAGCATTCTGTATACTCTACCGAAACAAGATATAAGAAAGTATATAGTTCCTTATAGTTATTAACTTATAACATATAAGATTATACAGTACATTTTATTGACTTGTTTGAAATTAACATCTGTAGATAAGATCCAGTTAGGGCAGTTAGGCCCTATATTGATTACATAACTTCATCATTAATGCCATTGAGGTATTGTTATAACTAGAGAGTGGATTTAAATGTTCTAAAACTAGAAAAATGTCTTTAAAATACTATTTAATGCACATATAAAAAAAATACCTAAAAAAATTAAGTGCCCTAATTATTTTAACCTGGAAGAAATAAAATTGAATGCACTTATAAAATAAAAATTGCTGTAAAAGAAAACTATTTTTTCCAATTAATCACCTAGTGTATAAACTGTCACTTGATACATTTTAACAATAGAAATATGAATTTTTTTCTAATCCATCAAATTTTTCGAATAATACTAGAAAGTATGTATAATAAGAAAAAATGCACTTAAAATGTCTAAAAATGCCTTAAAAATAATACCAAAATGAAAGTTTAATTTTCAATTCCTGATGTTTGATATGAAATTTGTCTTGGAAAGCAATATTTTAGGACATTCAGAAAAATCTGCATTTTGCAATGAAATCCACTCTCTATAGTTATTCACAATGAGATCATTACTCGGCTGCGACCAGTTGTTCGTCGGGCTGAGGTCAGACGCCGTCCCCACTACGGTGGCACGTCAGGCGCTGCCACGGAACAAAGCCACGCCCAGGTGCACAACTAGGCCGCCGAGTAATGATCTCATTGTGAAAAGACTATAGTTATAACATTTTAAGGACTATTAATTATTATTATCAACAGTTATTATTTTATATTCATAGGCAAATTATTAATTTCAATTTTACAATCACAAATCATTTTAAATTACAGTAAAAGGTGATAGGTAGGTATCAATATTAAATTGTAATGGTAGTAAATATAACTCAAAAACTTATGCACTGCCATCTACAAATTTAAGTATTTCCTACTGACATTGATATGTATGTAACGTAAATGTACATCATTACTTCTTTAAATTTTAAATTCATTATTTTATTTCTTTAAAATAAATTCACTTATTAAAAATAATTCACTCATAAAATGGGTTAGGTTCATATAAGAATGAATAGGATTGAATTTTGTAAATTTGTTGAGAATACCATATTTAAAAAGGTACTTTTAGTTATCCTGACTACCACGAATCTGAAATCCGTTATCCGAAGTCTGAACTACCGGGCCGATACCATGACTACCAACTCAATTCCGACTACCAACACGATATTATTATATCAGCCAGACTTTATAGTTCCCAGTAACAACATCGTTAACAGTGATTACCCTGTGACCAACTCGAGGTGGTGTTGAATAGCAGACCGAAGGATATTTTAGTTTTTTTAGTCCCAGCACAGCGCAGCGAGCAAGTGGTAAAGCGGGCAAATGGCAAAGAGAGCATCACTCTAAATAATTTACGTTCTTGGGAGTTTAATTTTTTCAAGAGAAAGCTTTCCAAGATCTTCCCTAACTTCCAAGATTGTAAATTATTTACAGTGATGCCCAAGTGACCACTCACTCACTGAGCTGCGCTTGGACAAAAAAAAACAAAAAAATCCCTCCACTTGCTATGCAACATCACCGCAAGTTGGCCAAAGCCCACAGGGTAACCACCGTCGTTAAGGGGAACTATTAACTCTGGCTGGTATAGTATCAAGTATAGTAATCGAGTTGGTAGTCGGGATAACGGAAAAGTACCTTTAAAAATATAAATTAAATATTTTACACTAACCGAAAAACCATAGTAAATATTCCTGGCACCACCTCGTCCGCCACCAAATATGTATATTCTGTCCTTGTAGAATACCACTTCATGTCGATATCTAGGTTCAGGTTCTTGACCTTCTCCTAATGATTTATGTAACAACTCCCATTTTCTTGTACTCAGATCAAATCGATGAACATCCATCTCATATTCGTAACCAGATGTGCCACCAATTGAATAAATATATTTACCATCCATTACAACACCTTGTCCATATAATGGTAACGGAACATCTCCAGACACTTCTAACTCTTCAAAGCTCATTCCATTTTCTTTATACTCATTGGCTAAATTTCCTGGAATCATTAAAATTGAATAATAATTTTACCTATGTTCATCATTAATGTAAGTTTTGTCATTAAAATCTTACCCAAGTACATTCGGTTGCTACAAAATGCTCCAAATGGAACTCCAGTACCTCCATATATAATGATTATATTACCGGATAGTGTAACTGAACTAGATGCTAATTCTTGAGGAACATTCTGGCACTTGATTATTTTCCATTCCCCTAAGTCAAAACAATACTTCCAAAGCTCTCGCATAGCTGATGACACTCTTTGTCCAAGAACATCCTATAAGTACACATTGATTATGGTTTATACCCTTAAGAGAATGTCAGTAAGATGGGTTACGATATAAACATGGACAACCAAAAGATTATAAACATTAAAATAATTTCCATTTTAAAAGCAGAACACTGTTCAACTTCAAAGAAATAATTATGAATATTGGTAATTGGCAGTAATTTGTATAAAGAAAAAAAATGTGTCTAACATTTGTTTGAGGATTGAAACCTCCATACGAGAATAAGTAGGCATTATTGCACACCACGCGATGTCCACTTCTCGCCAATGGCCGTTGCTGTGGATCAAGATTTTTCTTTAATACAGTGAACTGAAACGGTTTGAATTTGTATGTTGAAATGCTATTATTCGACATTTTTCACTGCATAACACCTATTTAAACATAAAAACTAATTATTAATTTGGCCAGGATGATTAATGTAGAGTAACATAATGAGTTTACATAATGCAATTGTGTGTCTGTACCCACTGAATAGTTAATTTAAACAGGGATGAACTAATTGATCGTATTTTAAAGATGTATGGAAATATAGGGATACAAAAAAAAAAAAAAAAAAAATGACAATAAATTGTAAGCCACGGCAGAGTTTAATAATAATATATGGACAGAGTCGAATCTAGGGTTTCATTCCTGAGTGTATGATTTTTAAAATTATTTTAGGTGTAAATTGTATATTTAAGTTTTCTTATATAGTGTATACATAAGCGGCAGAATATGGGCTAAGGAGCAAACCATATCAAGTTGTTTTGTCATTGAAAACAAGATGAGTGAATTTCAAAAATGAGTTTCATATAGATTTTGACTTTAAATACTTGATTAAAAAAAAATTCTTTTCATTCAACATTTTCAGAAATAGTTAGATGTTTAGAACTATAGGTATGTATGATAAATATGTATTATACTACTAAGTATTCAATAGTTGCTTAATATCTGTAAAATATTAATTAAATATTTATAAATATTAACTGGTAATAGACAAATTACCTAAGACGCATGAATATATTTTGTGTAGGTACAAAAAATTTTTGTTATTGTAATATTTTTTGTAAAAATACTAAGTTTGTAGGAAAATAAATTAAAAATAAATATAACCATTAGCTTAGTAATCTCCTTTTTTAAGAGTAGATATCTAAAATTTTAAAAAAATATTTGAATTACATCTCAGTTATTTCAATGAAAATAGGGGTATTTTCCTATCCGTGGCCCCGGATGTTAAAATGTTTAGATTTGGTCCTAGATATGTTTGTTTGAAAATAATTAAATTAGCTCTTGCCACACTACAGTAGATAGATATTTTGTATTTTTATAAATAAATATAATTGCCAAACCACTGGAGATACCCTATTATGGACCTCATTGGACCTTTGGGCTTTAACTTTCGGAAACAGACACTGTTAAAAAAAAATATACATATACCTGTGTTATGGAAGAATTTATGCAATTTGCTTTTGAATAAAAAAAAAGACTCGATAAAATTGTAGAAACTAAAAATGTAAAACTAATAACTGGTGTGTTCAAATACGTCAAATACGTTGTAGTATTAGTATAAGTTCTTGTTGTTTCGGTTAAATAAGTAATAAGTACATTCGTTGTTAGTATCAGATTTACGTTTTATGAACTCACTCTTATCAGTCATCAATGGTTTGTGATACAGTTTTAATAATAATGATAAACGAAATATGCGAGTATACGCGACCGACATCTACTGTTCTGCGCAGGATTCGCGAATTGAGTTTTTTTTTTTATACAACTAATTACTATTAAAATAAGTAAGTATGGACTTCTTCCTGGTTGTAACCATAGATATTAAAGATCTTTAATATCTATGGTTGTAACTTGTAAACAATAGCCAATAAGCATACACATCAGACGATCAGAGAATATTCATGATTGTAAGAGGTAGTTGCCAGTCCAGTCGGACGACCGACCGGTTCGTTGGGTGAGGCTGATTGGGGATGGCCCAGGGAGATTCGAAAATGTATATTATGCCTACCTATATATTTTAAACCGTGATCGTTACTAAGATAAATATTTACTCCGTAAAGTGGAATTTACAATGACTCATAAAATTGTCAATTTTTAAAAAATGGTAACTTAAAAATTCAACCAATCTATATAATTATGTAACATGTTCACTATAATCGTTGACGACTGGGGGTAATCGGGAGCAGCTATAGCCTATATGGGCTATATTGTATAATATTATATTAATATAGGTAATAGGTAGTAGTAAGCCGTAACCAGTAACGTACTCAGAATTTTATAGTTCGGTTAGGGATTCTAGCTAAACCTAATCACAGTCGCGAGGCTGTGTCGCGCAGGAACCATTTTTCATGAGGGGGGCATGTACTGCCCCCCCTTCTCCGACGCTACTGGGGCTGTACATAACACCGGCTTTTATATAATATTGGTTAAAACAAAAAATACAGTTTAAGTTTCCAATTGAACCTACATTTTACCTGGTCATCTATAGACCATAGATTAGAGTTATTAGAACCTCGTCAGGCCGTTATAAACATGGAATAATTGTTACAACTTACAGCGATTGGGGCAGACTCTCGATTTTATAACTATTAAAAAGACTAACAATTAATGTGTATTGGTTATTTTGGGCGTGCCCCCATGCTTTAAAGTTTAGATGGTATACTTTATCTATGGTAAAGATAAAATATTTTTTTGTAATATTCCCTTTAACTTATTAGTTAATACTTACCGTACTATTGGGCTCTCAGACTTCACCCCTTATATATATATATATAAAATAAATAAATAAAACATTATACAAAAAATACTTATATCTATGCAATGCACCATACATGAATTGTAATAGTGGACTTTTATTTTCTGCACTTATAATTTTAATGTATAAAAACTCGAGTGAACTCTTCTTTAACACAAGAAAAACTGGACTCTTTGGTCATTATTATTGGCCATCAATCATAATGTTACACAACAAATAACGTTTGAAAACACTATTGCTGAATTTTCAAAATAAAAAATAAATAGGTGTAGTAATTTATCATAACTTTGAAAAAATTGTGATTTACAGATTAAACTTGTATTAATAAATTGGTAATCAGCTCTTTAGGTACGTTTATAATATTTACTTTTGGGTAGCCGGGTAGGTATATTATTTTAAGTTTTGTATGTTTTTATTTTAAGATGTTTTTTTAGTTCAAAAGACCCCGAATTCCATAGGAACTCTATTTCGTTCAACCGGGCTCTGTCTATTATCCATACTTATCCGTGATCGGTATTAATGTATTATTGACTATTGTAGTGTTGTATAAATGGCGTAGTGTCAGAAATGTATTGTCAAACAAAAATTGTGGATACCTATCCACGCGCGGGGGGAATAATCTACTACCTACCTAACACAGTAACACCTTCACATATAGCCTTATAGGTATATTCCAATAATAAAAACCTTATAAATTATCATAAAAAAAAATGTTTGGACGAAAAATTTAAATCTACATAATAATAGATATATTACCTATAGTACAGGCTGTATCACGCATACTGGGCACTTATTATAATGTTATAATACGTCTAATACCAGAATGACTTCATATTTGTATTCAATTTTCCTAAAATAATTAGTATTTTTTTGGTAAAAGTATGAGCTACTTGTATGAAAGACCTTTTTTTTTCGAGAGAGGAGGAACCGCGTTAGCATTACTTCTCCTAAATTAGCATTCCTAACGTTAGCATTACTTCTCTTAATTGTATGAAAGACCTTAGGTCCTTAGCTATACAAATTTAATAATTTATACATTTTGAACTACAAATTAATAATTGTGGTTTTGTCAATATTTGAACTAAAATATCTATAAAAAATAACCTAGCCTTTATGTATCGTTAATATTTTTAATTATAGATATAGCCTATCATAAAAACTTAAGATGAACCTTGTACTTATTACATTTTTAAGCTTTTTGTCCAGACAAATAATTATTTATTGATATTTTTAGAAAAAAATTAAAATTCATTAAATAAAATCCAAGTGACGGTCTTATCACTTATCAGGGTTACCAAACAATTTTAACAAAATTTCATTTATTTTTGTTTTCAATGATTATTTTAAAAAATACTGAGAGTTTTAAATTTCAACCTCCCAAAAATATGAATTAGATCCAATTTGCTTCCAAAAACTTCCATTAAAGTTTATATGATCAGAGCATTTTTCTACTAGAAGTTGAGAAGTTGAAGTTGTACAAACATTTTCAAATATCTCACCTAAATGTCTGCAATTATTAGCCTAGACAGATTAAAAATAAAATTGTAATTCATTTTCAAGCCACCTCCCCAAATTAAAAAATCATGCTTACGCCACTGTTGACACTTAAGCTAAACTTTAGGTATCTAAACCACGGCAATTTCACTCAGTGGTACGTCTTAAAGAATGCTATTCAAACTGAATAAAGATGGACAATTTTAATAATTATCCACATTTAAAGATATTTAAGGTTTTAATAAGATATAATAATGCAGGACGTATAGGTGATTCGTAAATTCATATTTCATACATTATTCATATTTCATACATCATAGAATAAGTAAGTATCTCATACAGTCATACTTTACAAATGTTGTTTTTCGTTTTCAATTTCAATTTCTTTCAAGACTTCTTCATTATCAATTTCTATCTGAAAAAATATAGTTAATAATACATTATTATGATTATCACTATTATATTAAGTATTTTATATATTATTATGTTTAAATCAAGTATCTCATACATTTGAATATTTTAAAAACTTATCATTTGTTTCTTCTTTTTTGTAAAAATCTAAATAATTTCTTCGTTTATAAATAACCGTGTTTAGGTATTTCTTATGTTTTACTGCCAATTCCAAAGCTCTAAAACAATTATAGAAATAAATCAACTAACGAAATTGATCACATTCGTGAATATATTTTACCAAATTATTATTATTTAATATTATGGAGATATTCATTAATTAAGCTAGTGAATTATTGTTAAATAATCAATATAAAAAAATATATAGGCATTTAAAATTAAAAGAACTTGAGTGGTAATAAACTCTGGTTAGATAGGTTGTTGAGATATTAATTAGACACCAATGCAGACGAAACAGTAATACTTTGTGCCAGAAATTACCCTAATTAATCCAATATTTTGATAACTAAAAAAAATACATTACAATTTAATTTACAGTCCAAACTCCAAGTGTAGAATCAAATTAAGACCAGAAAAATCAGAATACTACGCACGTTAACTTTAAAAAGACCGGACCCACCACCCACGATTCACATTTCACATCATCGTTCCAAGGAATACGAATTTCAACCTCTTCGAAAGTAAACTATTATAATACCTCAATATCTCGATCAATACAAGACTAACGTGACTCGTAAGTCCCTCAGCTTCAATCAAAAAGAAAAACATTGGCATCACACAATTATAGAAAATCGAAGATTTCAATCCACACAAACGTATTAAGTAGGTATAAATCTCTCTCAAGCCCAAGATGTACCTACACATGCAATTTAAAATTAGATAGTTATACAATGCTATCCCAAATTGTAAATTGTATTACTTTCTATATACAGCCGCATTACAAATTTCCAATCGATCATTCTCCGTATGATACCTACTATACTTAATATTTAATATTTAATCAATGTGTTGGGCTTACACACCTACTCCAGTTATGTATATGTACGTTAAACATGATAGCTTTAAATGTGGATCCGTTTCTCAGCAAAATTGATTCGGCTTCTGATATTTTTCCAGATAGCAGAGCTAGTGATGACTCCTGTACTGTTCTGTCAGATATTGTCTGAGACAAAAAATAAAATTAAAATTATAAAAAATTCGATAAAAAATTAGGTGTGTCATGCTCAGTGACATGTATAGGGGGGAGCCCCTCTCAGCCAGAGCCCAGAGTGAAATTGCAGGTTAAATTAAAACATTGTATGCATATTTACACTGTTTACAGTTTTTAAAATTATATAGGTTGATGAAAAACGTTTTTGAGGAACCAGCAAGGAAATTTTAGATACCTAATCAGGACTTGCTTTGATGACTTTGATATTCAATTCATTGTATAATATAAAGTTAAAATATACAGATTGTCAATATTTTTTTTTTTAAATATAAAAATGAATTTTACATTATAATTATCAAATAAAATTGTGCAATCTTTATTTGCAGTATTGTTTATCTGATAATAATTATGACCACTTGACTCCCTAAACAATTGATAATTATGCCTTTGTTAGTGCTATGCTTTACTAGTGATAAATTGGCCCATAGTGAAAATAATTCGTATATACGCCACTGATTAGGTATACTATTATACGTAGGTGTATACAATACATAGGTATGCAAAAACGATAGTGTACTAACATACATATGTTTTAAACTCCTTAATTTGCTTAAAGATTCTTTATAAAAATGAACAAACCACTGTATTTTGTTTTTTGTTTCTAGGAGCTATAAGACTGAGTGGTTACTGCAAAATTACTACTGATGTCTTGGGAACCCACGAGAACTGACACTATAGGTTATATGCGTACAGTGTACACTATGCATTATTTGTTATCATAATACACTGTATAATAATATCTAAAGATCTATCAATGCCTTTATGTGTTGGATAAATGTAGCTCGCTCGATCTGCCCGATGGCAAGAAAACACTCTTCGGCAGTGTCTAGCTGTTTAGCCAACACAGCAGAACCAGCCAGAAGTGCCCACATCGCTTCATTCTTCATGTCTCGGCAAACGGTTCGACATTCCATCCATTTGCTTGAACCTATGTAATTCTTCAGAGCTTCCAGGTAAGGGGACACCTGGACAAATACCTTGACGCCGTCTGTGTTGATCAGACTCACCATGTTGTCTTCGTATAACTCGATATTTAACTTGTTTCCGTAAAAACTGTGTGTTCAACGAAAACCCCCCAAAAAATTGAAACATATTTATAAAAATTTCAATCGTACAACAATAATTTTGATAAAAGTTAAATTATAAATTTTCATTAAGGAATATTTAAATATGGAAAGTACAAAAAGTGCAGAGGAGAAACGAGCTGTGACTGCTGAGACGCATCCTAGTGTACGGAAATACAAGGGCATCAGCAAGAATTTATCGAGGGGGAAGCAAAATATTTCAATTTTTCAATTTTTTTTTTCATTATCCGATAAAGTATTGTTTTTGACATGTTTTTTTATGTTGGTAGGAAATACGAAATTCATTTATGAATTATATGAAGATAGTTAGTTAAAAAAGTGTCCATAAAGAATCCATATTAAAAAAAAACCATAGCACGGTACTTGAAATTTTTCCTCTAGAAGGAAAATCTATAAATCATATAAATATGTTTTTTTAATAAGTTACCATGACCTGCGGACGCTCTTGCCTCTCTCTGCACTGTGGCCTGCAGGGTGATTAATTCAACAGTCCATGCTCATTATTTTGAATATTTTTTACTATTTTTCTCGTTATAATTTTTAAGTTTTTTTTGTTGAATGACAACATACATTTGAATTTCATATCCCAAATCAGAATATTGTTCTGAGAATTTCATACCAATAGTGTTAAATGTTAATAATAGTTCTTATAATTATAACTTTGGATAAGTGCAATGAAGTATAGGAACCCCGAAAAATGTTTGTTCACTAGATACTCTACTAATAATAACTTACAACTAAACATTAAAATTTGATTTTTATGTACCAAAATTATAAATATTGAAAATATGAAAATAAAAATGTATGTTTCATAAAAAAAAAATTAAAAACTCAAAATTAAGTAAAATATAATTTCAAAACTTTAATATTCTTCTTCTACACAATGAGTATATGTTAACTTAAAAGAATCTCAGTTTTTATAACTATTATATATAGACATATGGTATCATAGAGAACGATAACGGATAAAGACGATATAGGTAATTTACCTCAAATCACTTTTTTCTAGCGACTTCCGCACAAGGATTTGGTCGTTCAGTAAAAGTAAAGGGTCATACCACACTATTAGATTTGTATATTGCAACGCAGCCAGTGATTCTGTTTGACTGTTCCAGCACATGCTATGAAACATGGAACCTATATGTAAATGTAGATCACAAAAATATTATATAATTCAGTAATTTCTATTTAGAATATATACTTATATACGTGTACAATGTACATATTATATCAGTAATTTACGTATACCAAGTTTATATGTCTTAGCACCATCTTTATGCCCTATATGGACAATAAATATGTTCATGCTTAAATCAATCAACGCCAAATAACGTTTATCTTGGATTTTGGTGGTCATCAACTGTACATCAGTAACTCCAAATCCGTGTTTAATTGTGGGCAATGCACTCAACGGTGATATTTCAAATACGTGTATCACTAAACAGAAAAACGAATTAATTTTATTGAGACGTATGAAATGTGTACTGTCTCTGTCACTCTTAGAATGTAATATTAGTTGTCACTTTTGTCATTCAGTTGATCTCTTACGGCCAATATATGATCAGACATGGATACGTGATTCTTTTGAATTATGTCACATTGCATATTCGGCCATTTAGGAGACGAAACCAATTTACAGTCAAATGTGTAAATGTCGACTCGACTTATCGATAATATAGCAAAATACCTACATACATGATAAAAAAAAAGTAAATTTACCTGCTATTTTGGCGTAAACAGAGGGAGGGCCACGGAGGGGGATAACGTAACGAAGCCCCCCATCACCGTATTATTATTACCGGAATGAATTAATTTTTGCAAAAACATTGTATTTGCATACCAATTTTCCTAAATTTATCAGTGATTTTTTGGTAAAAGTATAAAATATTTGTAAGAAAGACCTTATATTCATATTTTTCAAGCCTTAGCTAAGCCTATACAAATTTAATATTTTATACATTTTAAACTACAAATTAATTATGGATTTGGCAAAATTTGAACTTTAATTGCTTATAAAAAATAATCGTGCTTATTTATCGTTAGTGTTTTTAAATATCTATAATAAAAACATACGAGGAACCTTGCATTTCATTTTAAACATTTTTGACCTGACGAATAATTTTTTATTAGTGTTTTAAGAAAAAAACTAATCAAATACAATCCAAGTGAAGACTGTCTAGACTCTAGTTACCAAACAATTTTAACAAAATTTCATTTATTTATTTTATTTTTCCCGATTATCTTAAAAAGCACAGATAATTTTCCATTTCGATTTTTCAAAAGTATCAACTGGATCCAAATCACTACTAAAAACCTCCATCGAATCAGATCAAATCGATCAGATAACTTTTTCTACTAGAAAAGTTTTACAAACATTGTCTTATGCCTGACCTAAACGTTTGAAAATATTAGACTGGATAAAATAAAAATAAAATTGTAATTAATTTTCAAGCCCCCTCCCTTCATTGAAAAATCATGCGTACGGCACGCTGCTTATATAACAGTCAACGGAGTATAATGCCTATAGACGAGTCTTAAAGTACCCTTAAAGTACCTATACTTAAAAATTCTTAAAGACAGAATTTTAATATTGAATAAATTGGTACATAATATGTCCAATATGCAGAGATAAACTATAGAAAACTTTATACATTATAAACTATATAGATATGCTTGGTGAATCAGCCAGTACCTACCATTATAGAAAAAACCTTGTGATTTATTCTCGTTGAACTATAACTATAATAGTTAATAATATAGTTAATATTATAGTTGTTATATAGGCAGGTTTATTATAATGATATTGGTTGTAATTTGTATTTACTTTTCAGTCAAAATTATCATAAACACGTTCGTGTCTTTTAAATTGATAATTTGCGGAGTGTTTAGATTGGGCATTTGATAAACAAAACATTGAGTGCAAGTAGTCACTATTAAATGATTGTACTCCATAGCTACGTGGACGATACGTTCGGGGAAATCGAGGTTTTCTTTGGTTTCGTTTAATACATCCTTCACGGTCATTGTTTTCCGTGACGTGATCAAACAATGAAAATTCCGTCTCGAAATACTTCTGCAACATAATTATTATATACTATATACAGGTACGCTATAATTTACTGAGAACATAAAATTTCTAATCTTTATAATATTCCAACCTTTCAACCAAAGTAGAAATCATTAGTCTTCCATTAGCACACACAGCAGCTACTTGAGTACTATCCGGTGACCAACAAAGCGAACAAATGCTTCCACAATCAACGTAATCTGTCGACAGGACTATCTGTAGAATAATTTAAATAATCATAGTAATTAAAATTATTGTAATTTATTATAAAACAAATACATTTTAGATTCTGAGCGGAGCGATGAATGTATTGGTTTTACAATGATGTATGTTTTTATATTTTTATATTTTTGTGTCTGTCATCACGTTTTAGGACAGTAAAAGTCAGTAATAGAAGGCTCCTAATATGTTGTTTCAAAGGCAGATGAAAAATATTAAAAATCCTTAGTCACAATTTTTTTTTATAAGCATTTAAAGTTCAAAAATTGACAAAATATGGAAAAATCACGAAAATTAGCAAATTATTTTGAGTTAAGAATTCGTAAAAATTTTTCTTTTTAAATCTAAGATTTGAAAATGTAATACAAGATTCCTTATAAGATTATCTACCTTTATCAATAAAAAAATCTCTACCGCACAGTCAAATTAAATTTTTATGAGCGTTTGAAATTCAAATTTTTACAACATTGGATTTTCACTCGATTTCTCATGTAGCGATTTCCTTATTTTGTTGTAATTCAAAAACGAATAACTGTAGATACATGAAAATTTCACTGAATGTTTATATTAGCATTTCCTATACACCATACAATTTTGAAAATATTTTGACTCTTTTTGAGCTGTTTACGGACATTTTCAGTTTTCAATTTTTTTAGTTTTTTTTTTTATAATTGTCAATAAAATTTGGTGGGCCAAAAAGTCTGAAAATTTAATACAAGCTTTCTTATATATTGTTACAATATCAGTTGAAAAATTTTAAAAATACATAGGCACGATTTTTTTTTATAAGCATTTAAAGTTGGAATTTTGACAAAATTTATCAAAATCTCGAAAATTATCAATCGTTGGAATTAAAAAATTATAAAATGTTCAGTTTTTATAACTAAGAGTTGAAAATTTAAAACAAATATTCTCTTAAATAATTCATACTGTAACCAAAAAATCTAAAAAATTTATAAACACACTTATTTTTTACAGACATTTTAATTTCAAATTTAGACAAAATTTCATATTTAAACCAAGAATTACGATTTTAGTTATTTTGTTGTGATTGTATAATATTATTCGTGGGTACTTGAAATTTCTAAAGTAATCTACTATATATCTATGATAGTATCAGGGTTTGTTGTTGGTGTATAACGCGTTATAAGTACCTAATGGATATTGTGATATGATTAATTTGGAATTCATTATAGGTCAATTTTTTTTAATACCATAGATATGTATATAATATGTCTTATACCTAGAAGGACATACCGTCTCCGCTCAGAATCGTTTTTCTTATGATATTACCTATATCATTGAATTCAAATTTAATACCATCCATTATACAATGACCCACTTGTAACCTACTGTACAGCAGAGCGACACCCACTTGCCCACCTTTTTTATGAATATTTTTATCACACAACTACCTATATTTTACATTTATTTAAACTTTTAACAACGTAATATTTTTCATTATACAAATGTTCAGTTAAAAAAATTGAACGTGCTGAATCGATCACTCAAAACATAATAAATAATCAGTGCCGTAACTAGGCTACTTGAGGCCTGTGTGCAAAACCAAAATATTGAGGCCCCTATTATCTTTTTCAATACACACCTCAAAAACTTTTTTTGCAATAATTTTTAAAGTCAGCAGACAAAAATTCGGGCTTAAACAAAAAAAAAATTTTAATTAAAAATAATCTATAGTTTTAAAAAAATGTCTCAATGCTATAACTAACTCAAAAAAGGAAAAATTTTCCAAAATGTAATTTATTGAAAATATTCATATAAATATTTGGTGAAAACTTAAATTTTCTTCGGTTTTTAGTTTTCAAGTTACACCAAAAAATAAAATTTTTGGTTTTAGGCAAATAGACAATTTTAGATTCTGAGTGAAACGATGAATGTATTGATTTTACAATGATGTGTGTTTTTTTTTTAATTTTTTTTTTGTGTCTGTCATCACGTTTTAGGACAGTAAAAGTGCTTGGATTTTCTTCAACAGTAGCTTTTCTGATAGGAAAGTGAATCTAGTTGGTACTTTGGGGGATCAAAAGTAAAAATTTCGCAGTAGTTTTCACAAGCGCCAGGAAAAACAACATACAAATTAAGGAAAAACTGGAATTTTTACGCAAAATCGGTTTTCCAAAAAATCGATTTTGGTTTTTGGTGTAACTCTAAAAGAAATGAACATATATACATAATGTATATAACGTATATACATGACATTTTCACTGGTTATTTATATTTGCATTTTATATACACGATAACATTTTCAAAATATTTTGATTTATTTTGAACTGTTTAGGGACGTCTTCATTTTCCATTTTTTTTAGTTTTTTTCTAAAAATATCAATACAATTGTATTTGTTGTTTGCGAAAGCTTGAAAATTTAATAGAAAGCTCCTAGTATATTGTTTCAAAGGCAGATGAAAAATACTAAAAATCCTTAGTCACAATTTTTTTTTATAAGCATTTAAAGTTCAAAAATTGACAAAATATGGACAAATCATGAAAATTAGCAAATTATTTTGAGTTAAGAATTCGTAAAAATTTTTCTTTTTAAATCTAAGATTTGAAAATGTAATACAAGATGCCTTATAAGATTATCTACCTTTATCAAAAAAAAAATGTCTATAAGAAAGTCAAATTAAATTTTTATGAGTGTTTGAAATTCAAATTTTTACAAGATTGGATATTCACTCGATTTCTCATGTAGCGACCACAATATATAGTTGGGGAATGGTGATGAAGCAGATGATAGACTATATGAGATTTGATCATGGAAAGGGATGAGGGTTGTTTAAACATCCGAAGTGTGTCGTTAAAATATAATAAAGACAATTGATTTGATAGTATAATTTTGTCAACTCAATAAATTATTCTGTATTAAATTGACAAAAATTGTTTGTAGTGGTGAGAGTGCCTACTTTAAAATGTATAGTAATATTTGATTTAAATAATAAAATAATATTATTAATTTGACCAATCAGTTGTTGTCACTACAAAATTGTCATTAATTATAAATAGTATGTTTTTGTTGTATTGACAATTGTTTTGTTGATTTGATAATTATTTTGTTATTAAAATTTTACAATATCAATTATTATCAATTTGACAAAAAAAATTGTTGGACCTATATCTACAAGATTATTGTCAAACACACATATAATTTTATCATCATAAACATGGTTTTTTTCGGTGTATACACCATACAATTTTGAAAATATTTTGACTCTTTTTGAGCTATTTACGGACATTTACCGCTTTCAATTTTTTTTAGTTTTTTTTCTATAAATATCAAGAAAGTTTTATCTGTTGGGCCAAAAAGTGTAAAAATTTAATACAAGGCTCCTGATATATTGTTACAATATCAGTTGAAAAATATTAAAAATACATAATCATAGTTTTTTTTTATAAGCATTTAAAGATCGAATTTTAACAACATTTATCAAAATCTCGATTTTGAAAATGTTATCAAGTATAGGAATTTGGTACATGAGAAATCGAGTATATATACATACTTACACAAATACATACATACATATAAAACACATTTAATTACAGTGATGAAAAAGTGGCCTGCTTAAAAGTTGGCACCCCTATTGTAAAACTGAAATTGTTCCACTTTCTATACTACTCCACTTATTCTGACACTCCAACCTTAAACACTAGCACATTTGCACAAAAATACAAACAAATACAACAAATGGCAAAAACATTGGATAAAAAAAAACATCAAACGTAATACAATAAAAAACTACATTCAAATATGTCAAAACACAGGTCCGAAAAGGAAAGACGAAACTATTATAAATCACCATCGAATAAGGAATATACAATAAACATCCACAACACATAACCACCTGGCACCTCTTGACCATAAACGATTCGACCGAATATGTAAAACCTACGGAGTGGATAATATACCATTAAGCATATTTTTTTAACAAAATGCCAAATATATGAAGACATGAGAAACAATAGAACCACATACCAAAAGAGATAGGAGAAGCATATTACAACATTATAAAACATATCAAACATAAATATTATCAACTTCCTAAAATAATTGAAACTAACTATATATTATACAAATAATTTAAGCTTAACATATTATATTGTAAATAAAATTTATAATATAATTTTAACTAATGGCTTTGGATCCCCGTGTTTTATTATTTGGATCAATAAAAAAAATTAAAATTAATTCTATAGTAAACAAAAAACAATTTATAACTGATTAAATGCACTTATATAATAATAATAGAGTTACCTATTGAAGTAAAAAGTTATAATAATAAATGTTTCGTCAAAAAACATAGGTATAAACTAAGATTCAATTCAAATGTTCAAAGGTATTTAGGTATACAATTAAAAACGAAAAATACAAATAATATCTGCATATTTAAAGCATATACTATGGAAAAATAAATCAAAAAGTTGTTCTAACATCTCAATCTCATATAAATATATAATACATTTTGTTGGTAGTTTAAAGTAACTGTATAGACCATTACTGAAAAATTCTAAAAATAAACTGCTTAAAGTACAGTAATTATCGAAGTTACAATATCGAATGCTTAAATGTAACAATCGCTTTGCTCATAATCTAAAATGCATTAAATATTTTAAGAAAACTTACTTAATTTGTCCCTCGATTTCACTTTATTTAACGTAATAAAACCCATGACTAATTTAAAATCCGACGAATTTGAAACTACTAAAGTATAATTATTAAGTTATCTTAATTATTCAACATTACTTAGCATTCATATTATTATACGCGTTTTCTATAAACTGTAGAGGTGAACTGTAGGGTGACGAATTTTAATTGGTTTGAAAATAAGAATAGACACAGAAGAGTTTTTACTTAAACGAGTTGAACGCAAGCAAAGCATTTGTCTTGGGTATTAAACTTCTTATAAGCTTAATGTGTCAGCGTACATTATGCACTGTGTAAAGATGATTAATGCGTTTACTGTCTTGTTTAGTGCGACTACAATAAATGTATGTATATATCATGTATATACTATATAAAATATATATTATATATATATATGAATTTGGGGAAATTACTTATATAGCGAACGAAAAAAAGAAACAATTTTATTCGCCATCATTATTTGAACATATTTTTTTTCAGATTTTTAGAAACAGCTAATCAAAGTTCTAATATTTACTGAATAATAATAAAATGTATAGACTACATAATATTGAATAACAAACTGACTGAGATTTATACATTTGAATATAGTTATAAAGTATAGAATACACAGATACACTAATGTCTAATACTAACAAGTTACAGTTTCCTTTCAACAATATTATAGGTAGTTTGTAAGTACTTCCCATATTTAATGAGCAATAATAAGATACTTCCATTTATAAAAGTTAGTTTTGTTTTTAAAACTAAAATATGTATTTAAAATAAATTATGAATATTTTCATAATGAAACCTCATACTATACGTATATCGACATACGCAACGAATAAGGCAATAACTCAAATTTTCAATTTTTTTTTTTGTAATTTTCTATAGGGTATCACTGTTTTTCTGGAAGTCCAACGAAGACGGCAGTAACTCTATTTTATTGCATACGTTCAATCTATATTTTCATATTGAATCCGCCCCTGTGTATCTAGTACCCATACGGCCATACATAGATTATAGATATTCATTATATTGATTTATTCCTATTAAATAATTACTTATACTACTTATATTCGCTATTATATATTTAGAAAAATAATACTCACTCCGTATTGATTACAAAGTAGAATTTTGTTGTAACAACTAACAACTAGCAAATTCCCATCAGACTTCCAACAATGAGATGTTACTGGATGTGTGAGTTTTTCACTCACAAATACAGAATTTCCGTATGAATCCCAAATCTATAAAATAATACTTATTATTTTAATAGATCATAATACATAATTATTATTATAGGCTGCAAATAAGGTCAGTAATATGTTTCCATGTTGGAATAAGCAAATAAAAAAATACATTTTTATATAAAATATAAATAGGTACAATAAAAAAATTAAAATAGGTTTTATACACACAATCACACAATAAAATAAGCAATTTTAATTCCGGTACAGCAATAGTCAAGTACCTAAATATAAGTTTAAACTTTAATATAAATTATTAAAACGACATTATTTAACGACATTCACGTTGAACTTTTTGACATTCGAGTAACGAAAGAAACGCTATAAACTATAGAATTGAATTATGTTGTTGTGTATACCTATTATTACACGACTAAAACATAAAACTATTTATTTTATGAATTATATATTAAATATATACTACTTATATATATATACCTTATAGTAACAATCTTCGCCTCCCGATACAATCAAATCGTTGGCTCTACACCACGAAACTTTGAGTATAAGATCACTATGGCCTCTAATCTAAATACATAATTAGGTAGGTATATAATATCATTGACTATTGAGTAGGTATATATAACATTTAACATATAAAATGAACTCCTAAATGGGTGTTGTAACTTACAAGCACTATCACATACTCACATAGGCCGACTTAAAGGTGTATGAGGTGTACTACCGACCTTTTTATTTTTAGCTTACCACTGATTAATTTTAACTTGTGTCTTGTAGACATTATTATTTACCCTTCCAAAACCTAAGACTCAGATTCAAAAACAAAAATCTATAGACTACAATATAATAAGTCCATCAGTACAGACATTGTTTTGTTTAAAAATGGTATGAGACTAAAGTAGCCAGTAGGAATCAACTATAAATCTAATCTCACCTCAGACCATCAATAATCATTGACACAACTAGTAAAGTGCACAAGGGACATGTGCATACCCAAGTTTAAAATGTGCTTCCCCAAAAATAAAAAGCTTTCTCTATTATATTTTGATTATTTTAAAGAAAAAATTCTCAATAAATACAAAAATGTTGTAGGTACAATATACTATTTAATAGGTACCTATTAGGTATCTAATACCTATATACGGTATATTGAGGAATATCATAGATACTTCGCTATTATGTTCCCAGCTTTAAGATAATTTTATGAAATAATCTTTAGTTTATTTAATGTTTTATATAACAGGTCACAGATACGTAGTAAGTAAAAATAATCATAATAATATTATATTATAGACTGGCGAAGTACCTAACACAGGGTAACGAATTTTTTCTTTATCAAGTAAACAGTTAGATTGTGTTGTTCAACATTTTATTACGGTTTTTTTGTATGAAAATTAAATACTACAATGATTGAATGATTATGTTACTACTAATATTATCTATTACCTACCTGTATATTCTATAATAATTAATAATATTAAACAAATAATAAGACCTTTAGTACCTATGGTATTTTAAGAAACACAAAATGCATAAAAATAATTTGACAACCTAGCCATCTAGGTCTTTCAGTTTAAAACTGCTTTACTCCTAGTTCAAATCAGCCTAAAGTAAAAAGTCCTCAACTGAATAAAAAATAATTGTAATGGGATTATTGGTTTGGACAATCGAGAGAGGAGAGGTGGACCATGGCGTCCTAAAGTCCGAACAAGCAGTAATTTATGTTTTAAATATACCTATATAATTTACTAAATATGTTAAAATAGTTGTGAATGTTTCATTTTCTTAATTTGTAACTGTTTCACCCTTATTAAAATATAGCTAGTACATTTGAAATTATTTTTTATATATTATATGGAATTTTAAAGGTCTAGGAATTATTTACAATCTGTACACCCCCAAAAATATTGGTCTAGTTGCACCTAAGCCAATCCAAAGTTCACCAATAAATGTATAGACACTTATAAACATACTCTAATTGTTTTTATGTTCGCTTTTAATGATTTAATACAAAGCGTATCGTGTTGAGTATACACAATTTTAGATGAGTCGGAATTCCAGTCAGCCGATAATATGGGCTCAGCATTTACGATCAATTTTGTTCTCAACATTCCGATACGAGACCATATTTTTATAGATCCGTCCTCGCCAGCTGTAAATTTTAACAATAAATTATACAATTATAAGTAGGTATAATTAGTTCTTTGATATACCTAGATAATGGCTATAATATTAAAATCAAATCTAATAGACTACCAAACTATTGGGGAAATAAGGGTTTGTTGGTTAGGTTCATTAATATTAATATACTTATGTTAGCATATATAATATATACAGGTATATACGTATAGTGTATACCTATAAAGCATTTGAATCATATTTTTAAAATCGAGTAGGTACCTACCTAAAGGCTGCAATATGAGTAATATGACGTTTTATGTATCTAATATTTTTAGAAAAAAAAATAATAATTTAAATATTCTAAAAAAAAGAAACCATATTGGACACCAGTCCGTTATTAAAATGAGGATACAAGTTTAAACAATTAAAAATGTGTTCATTTTCAAGAGGTCCCTTCTCTGCATAAAATTTGACTCGGTCTGATTTAAAACGTATTAAAACTGTAACTAACATGTATTATATATTTATATGAAATAAAAACAGGTACATAAAATATTTTAGTACATTTACTGGTTAATGACTTAATGTTAATGTTTGTAATTTTTTAGTGATGATTGATAGGGGTAACTATCTTGCAGGTGGCAGGTGCGGGTTACTCATCTAATTCATAAAGGTAGACTATGGTGACTACTTTAATTCATGATAAAGCCATATTATAGGTAGTAAATATTTACTTTTAAGTATTATACTAGCCTGTTAATAAAGTGGAACCATCAGGACTCCATTTCCCGACCGTTGCGTTACCTTCATGAGCTTCTACTGTTTTATCGATTTTAGTGATTTTGCTCATTAAATGTAACTTGCCTATTACAAAAAAATATATCACATAAATTATTGAAATCCTATAAATAACTTTCCGTTTTATTATAAGCATACCATTTGATGTAGTTATAAGGATTTGTTCAATCCCTGCCGTCTTGTTTGTGAGTCTCTGAGTACTAGATAACATATGCAAATCTATAGGATACGATGATTCGTCAGAAATATCGCACAACTTTATATTTTCTTTTGTAGCTTGGCTCCATTTTGATAATGTTGAGTCGCTTCTAAGTTGTATAATCGAAAGTATGTAAATTATAAAAGTAAAGAAACATTATATAGGCACCCAATGAATATACCCTATTAGATGATATACAATCGTACAATACCTATTACCTATACAGGGAGTTTCTGAAATTAATGAGGCAACTGTAGTATACGCGTACTCACTGTGATGGCCCAATGAAGATATTTTTGAAATTTTTTTCTTTCTTTAAAATCGGGGTTTATACTTTATTCAAATTATTTTTAAAACATTATCTTAAATGTGAAAATAAATACTCTAGCTGTATTTTTGCAAAATGATCATAAGAATCGAGGCGTCACATCGTTTTTGCGATTGTCGCACGATTTTTAAGCTCGAACAGCCTACTAAAAAAAAGGGGTGCTTGACACATCGATTTGTATGAGTATTGAGAACACCTGAACACTTAAAAATAAACATTGGTGATAGTTCTTTGTTGTAATTTAACATACCTACATGATTAATTAACTAATTAACAGATTGTTTTACATTGTCATAATCATAATTAAATACACTTTGTTTTGAAAATCAATTATTATCTACAAAAGTTATTATACAACGCTGTACCTTATGAACTCTCAGTTTTTTCCAACAAATTTTGTGTTTGATGTGATGTGTTAAGGGTAAAGTACAAAATATGGTTAGTGTTCACATTATCCGGGTAATGATGTATAAATTGATTGGATAATATATATTATTAAAGGTTCACATTATCCGGGTAATATGTACATTAACCGTTTTTGGACCTTACCCGTAACTATAGTGACCCCATCCATTTTAGAGTTGACCGTTGGTCGGAAATCTAGGAGAAATATTTAAAAATAAAACCTACTGACTCTACGTATTTGTGTACACTGTACAGTGTACAATACGGCCTACAGTAATAAACCAAATTTAATAAAGTTAGTTGATGTTTCCATTGACTATTAAATATTAAAATAACTTAGTGAAACAATATATTATGATAATTTATCAATATTTTACTCATCAATAAATAAGTAGGTAATTATTTATTTAATCAGAAGTTTTATTATTACCAATATTGTAAGAAACCGGTACAGACAATTTGGGAGTGTTAAGCAAACCCTAGCCCTCTCACCCCCCTCCACCACAACTAGGATTCTTGAGGCCCCGGAAAATTTATGGGGCCCTGAGGGGAAAGCCTTAAGGAATATAGTTACGTGATATTTTTTAATTGGCCCATAAATCATTAGTTATATAGTTAAATGTAATAATGGTAGTTTTTTTATAATTTTTGAGTTATATTAGAGTAAAATCACCTATATTACAAAAATTATGGAGGATAATATTTTTGAGGGTTTGACATAAAGGTTATTTTTGAGGGTGATATATTTTATTATTATTTAACTTTTAATTCAACTTTCAAAATAATAAAAAAATGGATACATTTAAATTATGTTTAAATTGTTTTAACACAATATTTAGACAAATCATTATGTTACAGGTAAGTAACCTCAAAAAAATAATGCTCTATTATTTTTATAATAGCTGATTTTACTTTAAAATTACTCAACAACATAAAAAAAACGATTCTGCTTTAATGCATTTTGTCTATATTGCACATGGAAAAAAGAGGTAAAATAAACAGTGCACTGACATCCTCTAAAGTTGTGAGTCGTAAAAACGATGGACTAATAAGCGTGTACACGGGAGAGGCAGTTGTAAATTTCCATATAACTTTTAACTTAGGTAACTGAGTTAGAAAAAAATTAGGATAACTATTAACTTTAAACTTTTTAAAATGTTTTCTATCAACTTAACTTAACTCAATTAAAAATTATCATTAACTTTTCCAGGCTTGCTGTAAAATGTATTGAACAAATAAGAACAATAAATGTGAAGAACGGATTAAAATTGTTCACTTGTGATGGACGGAATATTTTTCTTAGACCTTAGTGTCTTCTTTCCTTCCTTGTCAAGAGGACCTTCGCGCGCTTACGGTCAGTATATCGTTAAACATTGGGAAGCGCAAATATATGCAAGCCGGGGGGCCCAGTTTTAATAAAATATAGTAACTAACAACATAGGAAAGTTATAAAAATTAATATAATCATCAATAACATTTATATAATTTTACTTGAACATGATGAGAACATAATGCAATGACCTAGAGGGTGACAGAGCCCCGGAACCAACACCAGGTTGCAACTTTACAGGGGCATTATCCCGGCTACCCTTGCAATTTTTGGGGCATTGAGTCCATTAGTTATGACTAAATGGCTGTGGGCTGTGGAAATACAAACTTTTATTTTTCAAAAAATAATCCCTCTTTTTTACTGGAAGTTATTTAGTGGATGATTTTCTTGAAAATGTTGATATATCTAAATCAAAATTCTAATGAGTACCTACCTGGTTTCTGAATAAATTATTAAAATGTTTATGCTAAGGATAATAATCCTTCAAAATGGTTTTACAAAATTATAAACTATAATATGTAATATTAGATGTAGTATTTATTATACCTACTTGGACCACTTTTACAAATTATTTTTACTGATAGATCAATAATATCGTCATATTTACTTAATCCATTACCAACTAAAATAGAAAAAATTATAGTTAATACACACTACAAAAAATTATATAACTCAAGAACTACTCGTTATATAATTTTGATTTAGATACATCAAAATTCTCAAAAAAGATATCTGCTGAGTAATTAAAATTGAAAAAAAGAGGATTCCTATTTGAAAAACAGAAATTTGTATTGTTACATAATCATTAAGTGGTACAAAAAATACCAAATATTCAAAAATATGGTCTTCACTCTTCAAATATATTTAAAAATTCCAACTCAACATTTGATATATGCATAATAATTAACCTATTGTGAGTATTCCTAAAAAATCACTTTGTATCCCTTGGTTTGCTATTTTAATTCTTATGTAAGCATGTAAACTAAAATTAAAATATCCTAAAGAACCAACGTAGTTGGGTAGCAAGGTAATTTTCTTAGTTTGATAATAGGTGAATTCACTCTAATATTAAAAGTAGGTAACAACACAGGTTTGGTTCTGCTTGACATACATTTGAAATGTTGAGCATGGGTCAAGAAAGAGAAAACAAATGAGAATAATATGACCCGACCTTGTAATATTTTACCACAGAAACCTTTATACTATTATGTGTTTGTCAGCTACTCCGTTTTCTTAATATACATTGAATGTAAATTATGTAATTCCTAAATAATATAGGTAAATAAAAATGTATATTTGTATGTTGATCATAATATTATATTTGTGGATGTAGGCTACAGCCCGTTTTTTTAAAATCAATTTTATGAGGAATTTATGTACCGCCAATAAAATTTGGTTATTTATGCCTATGCCCTATGGTAATACTTATAAGTAGGTGGGTAATACGCCTATACGACTATACTAACTTTATTTTTTCAGTAAAATAATGTTGTTATTATTGGTCTAACATTCTACAGACTACAATATTCAAGGGGAATTACTACGAGTTTATATGAAATGGACGAATGTACAATGTTTAAGTACATAGTGTTCAAGTGCATAATTATAATATATTATATTGACATTTTTTAATATATGTAGGTAACTTTAATCTATCTCAAACCTTCCGATTATAATTTCATCGTTTCCAGTCCAACCAATACAAACAACAGATTGATCCACAGAATCTTTTAATATTGTTGATTTGAAACGCATTTTTATGATAACTGATAAGTAAATATTTATTTGTTCAAAATATAATACCTTATACTATATTAATTAATGTATACAAAATATTATGTTTACAACAAAAACCATAAACAGAAATTATATGACACCAGTAACACCTTTGTTCAAAACTATTCCGAAATTACATATTATGATGGCTATCACACCAACAAATATAAAAAAAATAATTTCTTGAATACGGTTGCACACGGGGTAATAGGTATTGATGATTAATAATTTGTTTGTACACACATTACCATAGCAACAACTTTTAGCCATAGCTCATGGGTACAACTACTGTGCAAACTGCCAAGGGGCAAGGGCACACTATTTAAAATTTGTATCCAAAATTTTAATGTAGTCCCAATATCAACTCAAATATGTAAAACACAGCTATTTATAAAACAAATCTAACTATTTATTTTATTGTATAAAACCTAACAATCTCAAAAATGGAACTGGAAACAATTATCCGAATCATCTAATTGAAAATATTCAAACAGTGATGTTGCAATAATATTCAGACATATTGAATAATACCAAGGAAAAAAGAAATGGATACTGAAAATTAGTTAGTTAATTTCAAACTTATATCCACTTATTTAAGTTTTTAGTTAATATTATAATCATACTTAATTATATATATCAAAACCAGATTGTCAAAAAACTTATGGATTTATTTTTATATAAATTAAGCTTTTCCAGTTATCATAGACACATATTATGTATATTGGATACAGGAGTGTTATATAATATTTTTTGTTTTAAACGAAACATTTTAAGAAGGCCTCTATTTTGAGGATCACAATGCAAATTTTGGAAAAAGTATCCTGTTATGCCAAAATTCCATACAACTGAATTTGAATATGCAAATGTTACCTGGCACAGCAATTACTGTCAAAAGACACTAATTGCATATGTTTATTTAACTAAGTGAACAATTTATCTCGGTGGTATTAGGTACCTACCAACTATATAAAAATTATTTTTATGATTTTTTAAATTATAGGTCATTTAGTTGTTTCATGCCATTTAATTTAAATTCACAATAAATAACATACATGTGATACTTTTTGATAAATTAGCCATATATTGAAATTATTATAACTTAAATTATATTACATAGTTCTTAAATTGCAGATTTTTCATCTTCATTCTTTTCTTCTTTATTTTTATTTGGATCATCTGGTTTCATTGCTGGGAAAAATAATACTTCCTAAAAATTATAAAAATGTAGGATTAATAATCAAAAAATTATAAATATTTTAATATTGTATTAATGATTTTATATAGCCAATGGTTGATGGCCCGGTGACTACGGCCATTAGTTGTTGAAGGGATTATGAACTGTGGTAGGTAAGGTTGGTACAGTAAGGTGTTGTTACCATTGTTATGGTGGGTAAGCAAACATGTGTATGTGTGACAAGGTTTTTACTGCTACGGATAGTTCATAAAATTGTATAATTTCTAATTGGCTATAAATAAATATGAAGTTATTAATTTACAAAAAGTTACTTTCTTATACTTCATATTCTTAGATAATATTTAAAAAATATATGATAAAAATAAAATAGATAATAAAACCAAAATGAAAAAAGTAGATCAATTAAAAAATAAGCTTTATACGGAAAAGTACATTGTCAGATTGTAAATAAAAATAATATACAAGTCAAGTTGCTTAATGGCGTCAAAATGGTCAATAATATCATGATTCAATCTCATTTTATTTTCTCTAAATATTTTTACAAATACATTTTTTATCATATATATATTTCGCTTAAATATATTTTTTTTTAAATGTATACTGAGTAATACTACCCACATAATGAAAATAAATTATTTATGAAAAAGAAAAAAATTGGGCAGTTGTTTAACTTTTAGACAAAACTAATCGCAGCGATTAATCGTTTTAAATAATTTCTTAACTTAAACATGCCACTTACTTTAATATTATTAGAATCTGTTAAGAACATGGTTAAACGATCAATACCAAGTCCCCAACCAGCTGTAGGAGGTAAGCCATATTCTAATGATGTACAGAAGTTTTCATCTATCAATTGGGCTTCATCGTCACCAGCTGCTTTATCCTAAATACAAAATAAATAAATAAAATAATATTTACAATTTATAAATGATAAAATTAAAAATAGTAACTAATATGTTAAATAAATGATTATAATAATATTCTTTAAGGTAATAAGTACTTTATAACCCTTGTAGTTAAAGTTTTTGATATTAACAACAAAATATATGATTTTTAGGAAAATTAAAAAAACCATAATTTTTATTTAGTGTTGATCACCAGAGATCACATCACTAACCTTTGCTTGTTGCTCAAACCGCTCTCTCTGAATCATAGGATCATTCAATTCTGTATAAGCATTGCATACTTCTTTTTTCATAACAAATAATTCAAATCGCTCTGTTAAACCAGGTATGGAACGGTGCCATTTAGCTAAAGGTGACATTACTTGTGGATGGTCACAAATAAATGTTGGGTTTATACATTTTTCTTCAAGAAATTCACCTACAAGCTAGAAAACATTAAACATTAGGTTTATCCAACATTATGTTTTACTATTCATATTGATAAAATGTGTAATAAATTAAAGTGGATACTTTATCTAATAGTCTGGCTGAAGTTCTAGGTGGCGGGCATTCAATTTCATGTTTTAAGCAAAGATTGTCAAGTAACTTATTTGCTTCAACTGTAGCTAGTTCAGTAGGATTAGGAAGCTTAACTGAAAGAATTTCTTCCAAGGCCGGGAACATGTACATCCTTTTAAATGGTGGAGTAAAGTCTATTTCTACTGCTTCAGTGTTGGCATCCACACCATCAGGATGATATTTTATTTTATATGTGCCATAAATACTTTTTACAAGACCTACAATGATATTAAGATATCATTTAGTTTTATACTTAATTATTTTTATTCTATATCAAATGGTACCAGATAAAAGATCTTCTGTAATTTGCATAAGATCATTGTAATCTGCATATGCCATATAAAATTCACATGTAGTGAATTCAGGATTGTGTGTCAAATCTATCGCTTCATTACGAAATTGTCTGCCAATTTCATACACACGGTCAATACCACCAACAACAAGCATCTATTATTTAAAGTAAACATAATTAATAGACATAATATAAATAAAATGTATAAATAAAATTACTTTATGATAAAGTTCTGGAGCCACTCTCATAAACAAATCCATATTCAAATCATTATGATGGGTGATAAATGGTTTTGCAGTTGCCCCACCAGCAATCATATTCATCATAGGAGTTTCAATTTCAAGGAATCCTAAATTGTCTAAGAACCGGCGAACATAGGAAATCACTTTTGCTCTTACAATGAATTTGTTACGCACATGTTCATTGATGATCAAGTCTAAATAGCGTTGTCTATATCTAGTTTCCTTATCTTTTAGACCGTAGTGCATATGAGGTAACATGTGTAAACATGGAGTCAGCAGTTTTATGTTTTTAGGGAAGATTGACAACTCCCCTTTTTTTGTTTTGCCTGGACTACCCGTAACACCAATTATATCACCTCGCCGGATTTTTGATGTGTCTGAGATGAAACTTTCTTCGGTAGTATACTGTTTAGCATTTGCCATCACTTGAATTTTAACACCTTCACCACGTAGATCATAAAAAATCAGTTTAGGACCAGATTCGCGAATAGCATGAACTCGACCTGAAACATAGATAACTAATAAGTTAATAATAATATTTTTTAAAATACTAGGTAGTAGATTACATTGACTTTCTAAAAGCTAATATAGTAGCATAAATGACTAACAAGTTATTCCTCATGACTAAATAGATAGGTATGATCACAACTTTGTAATACACATACCACCCTTTCCATGTCTATTACATAGTTCTCCACTTCTATAATATCCTATTGACATTGCCAACCAAAAAAAAAATGTATACATATAGGTATATTATATGTTATAAAGCTTTATCTGCACAGGACAATTATAGTTAATCAGTTAAGTAAAAACAGTTATTAGAATTTAAGACTGAAGTGTATTACAATTTATAGTTTATAACATTTTAAAGTGAAAATATGTATAGAACCAAATAAATTTAACTATTGAATGGTTTAAAGAATTTAAATTAGATATAGATAATAATATATACCTGTTTCATCCTTATAGGTATGTACCTACTACTTGTTATTTGTACTTAAGAAAAAATGATTATTAATTATTAAAATATGCGTAATTTTGTTAAAGTGATAATGATTTTGAAGTAGGAGAGTATTTTCTAAAAGGCTCTGATTATGGTTGGATATTGGTAGAGGAAATTTCTGAAATTACATCACTAATATAATTTATTTTTGTATGTTTAAAACGTACCCGCGACACTATATTTTTCATCGTGTAAAATTTGAGTCTCAGCCAAAGAACTGAACTTTTCAATGAACTCTTCTAATGATATAGTTACATTGAATTTATGAGGATATGGTTCCTCGCCATCCTTTTTCATTTGAGCAATGGTTTGTAGACGTAAGCTGAAGAACTCCTATAATTTAGTTTTTTATTAATGAAACTCTTTAGGTATAATAATCTCATAGTTATTTTACATTAGGACTAATGTCAGCAGATTTAGTAGCAGCAGACAAATCACTTTCTTTCTTCACTGCTGGCAATTTTTTCTGAGCAGCCGCTTCTTTTTCCAATTTTTCCTTAGCTTTTTGTTCAGCTTTTAATCGTCGTTTGAGCTCACTAAACAAACATAATTTACAGTGTACATAGATTAGATACTAATAGATAATTTAGCTGGACACAGAGTGAACGTGAATATTGTTTTTCAAAATTAAATTAAATAGCACATTATTATTAAATTAAATTAATTTATTGATAATAATTAACACAACAATAGGTACCTAAATTGTATTCAATAATATTAATAAACTGATTTGATTTAATCATGATTAATTGTCATGTCTAGCAATAACATTTCATACAAAATTGAAAATTGAAGATCTGCAAACCTATATAATATAATTTTATTGTTAATATGTGTTTCTAACAAACTAAGGGCCAGTTGTACAATCTACAGTTACACTTCGATTACGCTTAGTTAACTGATAACAGATTTTATAACCGGGTAAATTCGGAAAATTAAGCTTGGTTTAATTTTAATCGGAAATGGTACAACTGGCCCTAAAAGTAAAATAGGTATGCATTTTAGTTTAAAATAAAACCAAATCTATTAACTGGTAAGAACCCATGTATAATGATAAGAATTATTCCAGTAACATTATAATTAAATGTCAATAAATTAGTTAGGTAATTAGAACTACAAAATTATATGGGTTCAGTATTTATTTAATATATCAACATTTTGTATCATTCACTCCGATACCAGTTGCAGAATGAAATGTTACTATACCTCTGAGCCCAACAAGATGTATATATTAATCTTGTTTGGTATATAGATTTTTTGGCCCATTGACTCATAAATACACTCATTTTGTCAAATTATTAATTTTTTATCTTAATTTATTCAATAATGATTTCATCTCTGCCTAATCCTATTCAATTAATACAGTTTTATAAGGGATAATATAATAGATAAGTGATAAATAAGTATTTTAGTCCAATACATGTCTACGTCACACATCTTATTCCATGCTATAGAAACGTTCTTAAACAGAATTAGGTAGTAAATTAGTAAATTTCATACATACTTCTTAGACAATGGAGCATCGGAACCTTCCATTTTTAACTAGGTAATTAAAGAATTCAATATGTTACGAAATATGAATTATGATTAATAAAATGTACAATTCAACTACAAAGTAACTTAATCTTTAATCTTAAAGTTAACTGTGAAGTGAGGTTATGTGTGTTGTGAATATATTTGCGGGGTAAAAAGAGAAATTCAAATTATCGATAGTTTATAGAGTACTATTTATATAGTTAAAAATATTTCAAGTAAAGATATTTGTAGATTCACGAAAGTCGAAATAATTTATACTTGAATGCCTAGATTTAACGTGCTTAACCAAATATTTTTTGATGAATAAATGTTTACGTCAAAACGTTTACACACTAGTACACTACAGTCTACAACATAATACATTTTAATTTACCCGTTTCGGAAATCGAAAGTAGATATAACACACAGAATATATCGATCGATTTTGATAATAAATAATATTGATAACAATGGTGATAACACTTATCATATTACTATGAAGACTTTCATGAAGAAAAATTCGATACGCATCGATACCATAGATATTAAACATTAAAGAATGGATTTATGGGTTTATCATACGGGAATGAACATGAAAACAATTTGAGGATATAGAGGTCTTAACAAAAATAGATTTATATATAATTATTGTATATAATTTATGATAAGACCTCTGCCAGAATGAGATACAATCATAAAAAAACAGTCTTTCTCTCTTCCCCATTCCGGCACACGGCCTCTATTTTATTAATGTAGCCATGGCCTATCCATTCTTTAATATCTATGATCGATACTGAACCATAGATAATATAAGAATAATATTGTTGAGCATCTAATTGGAAATTAAAAAATTAGACGATATCTAGGTAACAGCATAGAACACTATGATTATAGGTACATTATAATATTATATCACCAATTGGCAATTGCGCTCGCAGGATTAAATCCCACCCGTGGCATGTTAAAAATTATTTATACTCTAATATTAGTTACAGGCTATAGCCTATGGGCTTATAGCGATATTGATATTAAAGTACATGCAGTTAAAAATTTCCAGGGAAGGCATTACAGCCTTACAGGGGCTAGAGTCCTACAAAACCAAAGTGTAATTAACACGTGGGGGGCAAAGCCGCCCATGTACCTATATCACAAAACGATTAATTATAGGTACAGTAAGATATAATATTTTTGTACAATGTATTGTTCACAATAACTAATAAGTCTGTTTTTGTATCGTTTTGTAGGCATAGTGTATATATACTTGATCGCAGATGGTAAGGTATTTAGGTATTAATATTATAAAATTAGATTTAAAAAAAAAATGGTCAGCTTAGCTAAAAATTATTTTTTTTTTTTATTTATAAATTTAAATAAAATATGCGGTGTTTCTCATGCCTTAATGGCTTAATAGATCATATTATAATATGTTACCTACAGAAAAAAATAAAAAATCACAATCACAAAACTGTTGTTGTGAAAATGTGAATCAATAAATATGGAACACAATATTTTAAATATTTAGGAATTGAAATCAGTAGGTAGTAATATGTGATGGAAGAACTAAATTAATGTTTTAATAAAAAAATTTAGGAAAATGAATTATATTTTAAAAAATCTTAACAAAATTCTAGAACTACCTAAATCACGTCAAGTTTACTTAGTACTGATAGAATCAATAATGAAATCAATAATATCCTATGGTAATAGTTTAATAGTCTGGGGTGGTGTATTCGATAATGCTATATCTCAGTAAAAAATGTCAAAATAAAATTATTAGAATACTCTTCAATAATGAACGAATGTAGATACTGAACAACAAATTTATAAAAAATAACTAAACTTGCTAAATATTAAAAAAAATATTTAAAAATGACTGCTATATTTAAAAAACCACAGTTTATTACATGTATATAACAATAATACAATTACTTGAAATGGCATAACAATGTAAATGTTATATATACAAGTCATATTTAGTATAGGTAAGTAGCCGGTAGCTATACACCAAATCACGCGTTAGATACTGAGAGGAGCAAAGTTCGATTTTTGATAACATTTATCAAATTTAAAATATAAAAATTATTTTGTAGTAATAGTTAAACATTTATAAAATGTTCAACTTTTATAGCTAAGGATTGGAAATTTAAAACAAGATTCCACGTAAATAAGTTATATCTAGACACGCGGCAGCTTGTCAAACCAAGTTCTAGCTAACAGAACGGGCGAGCAGCACCGTGTGTAATATAAAATATTACATTATTACACGAACCATTTGGAGCCACTTTTGACCCCCTCATAACTTAAAATATATTCCACATAAACATGTCAAATTTGGCTCATATATTCAGACTTACAAGATACATATGTGCTCCAAATTTCACAAACACACCTCAAACCGTTATTTAGATATTAACGTCCCAAAATCGTCATTGTTATCACTGACTGACTGACAGACTGACTGACTGACTGACCTATAGATCAAAATTCTAATCCAGTTCCAGATGACTTAGAAAGTTCAAATTTGGCATACAGATAGGTAGTTAGGTTAATACAAAGGAAAAAATCAGAAAATTTTTAATTTTTTAATTTTTTAATCAATTGATTTTATTATAATTTTCAATTATTTTATCTATTATATTTAATTCTTCAATCAATTAATTAAGTGCCTCTAATTTAATGTAATGTTGACTTAAAAAGCTCCTCAACCTTTCCCGTATCGCCGCTCCAAAAATACGTTCAGTCGAATATGTGCCGATATTGGCGACCCACGGGCAGCAACATACTTTTTTTCTATGTATGTAATTAATGTTAATTTTTAGAAAAATTACAATTAAAATAATTAAATAATTTATCTTACGATTATGAATTACCCACCCACCAGTAGAAATTATAGTAAATAAAATTATGATAATTAAAAATATAGTCAAAAAGAGATAAAATAATTTTATATTCATTTTATATTTTATACTCTGTATACAACAGAAAATATTTTATAATAAATATTATTAATGTTAGTAACTGAATTATAGTATAGGTATATAGTAATAAACTTTATTTATAGAATACTTCATGGCTAGGTTAGGTTAGGTTATAATAATTTACATACAAATAGTAATGATATCCCATGGGATTTGGTGCACTAAAAACATATAGGTATGTAAAATGAGAGCCAAGTTCAATACTATAATATTATGCCTTGGTTGTTGACTTCAACGACAAATAAATCACGATCTAAATGGGTGCCAAGTTAGGATAATATATTGAAGCCTAAGGTCTGACTTGGCTACGAATTATATTATAGCATTAGCAAGTTCTAAAGCTTTGAGTTCTTATTTTGTTCTTCAGAAAATCATGTTCACTCTACCATTACTGTTTTAGTAGGTACTTAATAATAATTCGTATATGAAAACTAGCTAAGTCAGACCTTAGGCTTCAATATATTATCCTAAATTGGCACCCATTTAGATCTCACTTCTTTTGTCGTTGAAGTAAACAACCAAGGCGTATATTATAATATTGAACATGGCTCTCATTTTACATATATGTTTTTGGTGGGTATAAACTATAGATTACTTTATTCACAATAATATCATCAAATATACTTAGTAATCATAGACTGGCTGACCGTCTTCGCTCAGAATCGTTATTCTTATACAATGATATTATATCATTGAATTCAATTTTAAGACCATCTATTACAGACTACAGTGCCCCACTAGTAGTCTTCTGTAGAGCAGAGCGACATCCACTTACCCACCTTTTGGATTCTGAGTGGAACGATGAATGTATTGATTTTACAAATTACAATGATGTGTGTTTTTTTTTGTGTCTGTCATCACCTTTTAGGACAGTAAAAGTGCTTGGATTTTCTTCAACAGTATCTTTTCTGATAGGAAAGTGAATCTAGTTGGTACTTTGGGGGGGGGGGGGGTCAAAAGTAAAAATTTCCCAGTAGTTTTCAAAAGCGCGGTGAAAAACAACATAAAAATTAAGGAAAAACGGGAATTTTTACGCAAAATCGGTTTTCCAAAAAATCGATTTTGGTTTTTGGTGTAACTTTAAAACAAATGAACGTATATACATGAAATTTTCACTGGTTGTTTATATTTGCATTTTCTATACACGATAACATTTTCAAAATATTTTGATTTATTTTGAACTGTTTAGAGACATTTTCATTTTCCATTTGTTTTTAGTTTTTTTTCTAAAAATATCAATAAAATTTTATTTGTTGGTTGCGAAAGCTTGAAAATTTAATAGAAGGCTCCTAGTATATTGTTTCAAAGGCAGATGAAAAATACTAAAAATCCTTAGGCTCAATTTTTTTTATAAACATTTAAAGTTCAAAAATTGACAAAATATGGAAAAATCACGAAAATACGTAAGCAAATTATTTTGAGTTAAGAATTCGTAAAAATTTTTCTTTTTAAATCTAAGATTTCAAAATGTAATACAAAATTCCTTATAAGATTATCTATCATTATCAAAACAAAAATGTCTATAAGAAAGTCAAATTAAAATTTTATGAGCGTTTAAAATTCAAATTTTTACAACATTGGATGTTCACTTGATTTCTCATGTAGCGATTTCCTTATTTTGTTGTTATTCATAAACGAATAACTATAGATACAAGAAAATGTCACTGAATGTTTATATTAGCATTTCCTATATACACCATACAATTTTGAAAATATTTTGACTATTTTTGAGCTGTTTACGGATATTTTCATTTTTCAATTTTTTTAGTTTTTTTTTCTATGAATATCAATAAAGTTTTATCTGTTGAGCCAAAAAGTGTAAAAATTTAATACAAGGCTCCTGATATATTGTTACAATAGCAATTGAAAAATTTTAAAAATACATGGTCACAATTTTTTTTTAAAAGCATTTAAAGATGGAATTTTGACAACATTTATCAAAATCTCGAAAATTATCAATCATTGTAATTAATAAATTATAAAATGTTCAGTTTTTATACCTAAGGATTGAAAATTTAAACAAAGGTTCTCATAAATAGTTCA